TACGGCCCCGTACGGCACTAGCAGCGCGGCCAACCCTGCCGCCCCTGGTGAGGGCCCCCGGGCACTACCGGGGGCAGCCGCAGCAGCAGCCGCCCCCGCGGGTCCCCCGGCTGCGTCAGCAGTGCCGCTGAATGCCGCCGCCAAAGCGGCTCAACCTGCAGCTGTGACCCGTACGGCAGGCACTGTAGCGGCCGTCGGCCGTGGTGGCACTACTTTCGCTGCAGCTCCTGCTGCGACTGCATTCGAAGCCTCACAGCTGGAAGGCGTGGACGTCGTTTTCGTGATCGCCGATGCCGTACAGCGGCTGCCTTCTGCCCTCGAGGCGGCTGTAGCAGGGCTGCAGTGCCCTTGCTACAGCCTGCAGCTGCCGCCCAACAGCCGTCTGGTGGACATCCGAAGCGCGCAGGCTCTGGCACAGCAGCTTTGTGCCGCAGCCAGGGCCGTCGTGGAGCCCCTGTTGGCTCCCGCGCCCACACCCACTTCGGCGGGGGCGGGGGCGACGACAGCAGCCACCCGCCGGCGCACCGCCGCTACACTTCGGCGCACCGCAGCAGGTCCTGCCGCCGCCACCGCCGCTACTGGCGGCGGCGTTCGTAGGGTCCTCACCGCTGCCGTCATCGGTGTTGGGTTTGCCGCAACTGTGGCTTACGAGGTGGCTGTGCAGCTGCAGCCTGCTGCACCCTCAGCTGCCCCGGCCTCCGCTACTGCCGCCACCGCTGCCGCCGCCGCAGCAGCCACGGCGAGTGCAGCAGGTGGCGCCGGTCTGCATGCGACGTTGCTGCTGTTGCTGGAGGACCCCCGGTTGCGGCGGTGCTGCGATGTGGTGGGTCAGCCGTGGTTCCAGCTGCACGAGTGGGTTGCGGGCTGGCGGCCTGATTTGGACATGACGGAGTTTGCGGCGGTTGGAAGGCTGCTGGAGGAGCAGGTATGTTTAGGAACGCGTGCGTGCTGGGAGGGACTGGGGAGTACCGGTATCGGAGAGCATGGATGTCAAAATCTGCATTCATGTGTCCTTGGTACTGTCATCTGGGTGTCATGGCATTTCCACACCCTGCGCGGTGTTAATGTCTCATGTCCACCTCCGAAACCAACGCACAGGGCCATGCGGCTCAGATGGAGTACGTGGGCGGTCTGGCCCCGGCCGGCATGTCACGAGGGCAGTGGGAGCCTATGGTGGAGGAGCAGGCGCGCGCCGCCAACAGCCGCTCAGGATACGGCTGGGAGGAGCTGCAGTACAGCTGGGCCATACTGTACGGCATGATTGAGGCCGTTCAGCACCAGCATGCGGCGGGTGGCATGAGCGGTGAGGTGGAGCTGGTGGAGGCTGAGGCTGCCTCGGTGGCCGCTTCGTCGCCCACAGCCCTACCAGCGTGGGAGGTGTTCCTGCTCGACCTCTACGCCCTGGTGGACAGGTAGGCACCCGTGACAACCCATACCGCTTAGTTTTGCCACGATGCCAACGAGCCAATACTTTGGTTTCTTTCTGACCCTTGGCAGCTTCCCAGTCTCCAACATACCTTATGCGGTTTCTCACCATGACATGTGGACCTGCGATGTCTCATATCTGCCTTGGCTGCTTCATAGCTTCAAATGCGCTGTAGCTTACTCGCCAACTGCACGCACAGTCCATGCTCATAACTACCGCCCCCCAGCATTAAATCATTATGACAAGCGCCCTCCTGCTCCTCGTCACCGACCTCCCCAGGCCCGAGGCGCAGCTCGACTACCTGGCCCGCTACCGTCCCCCGGCAGCCATCGACGAGCTGTCATGGGACACGCGGGTGCGGGACACACTGTGGACGGCCTCCTACCTCAAGTCCATCGCGCACACGTAGGTGGACGCATCCCTGTTCGCGTTAGGAGTTACCGGTTTCCAACGGGGTTGGGATGGGAGCTAGGCATGCGCAGCTTGGCATGCGGCTTGCAAAGCCATCCGATGCAGCAGCATCCGCGAAGGTATTGGTACATAGCATTTAACCTCGTCTCCTTCTCGCATGCCACCCCAGGCACAAGCCCGAGGCGCCCTTCCTGGGAGAGACGGTCTTCCTGCACTCCGCGCCTCCAACGGCTGGCGTCATCAACGGCAGCGTCCGCGATTTCATGGCAGGCTGGGCCGCGGGGGCGACCCGCTCCTTCTCCATGCTCGTCCAGCCTGTGCGGATGGTTCGGCTGGCAACGGATGCTGAGGTTGAGTTGGTTGCGGGTGCGGGTGTGTTGCCAGCCGTTGTTCCGGAGGAGCCCATCCCAACTGCCGGCTCGCCAGGAGCTGCCTCCACGGGAGCATCAAGTGCAGCTGCCGCAGCCGCAGCAGCCGTGGCCGCAGAAGCGGCGGCCGTGCCGCCAACCCCGGAGCTGCCGCTCACTACCCGGCAGTTGCAACAGCTGCTGTCTGAGGCAGCCGGCTGCTACAACCGAGTCGCTTCCACTAGGCAGCAACTAGCAACGGCGGCTACGGTGTACGGCGCTCCCATGCTGCCGATGCTGCCTGCTGGGGCCGTCGCTGGCGCGCAGGAGCAGGGTGGTGGCCGTGAGAGCAGCGCAGCGAGCTCGATGTCCTACGTGTTGGTAGGCGGCGGGGCGGGCTCCTCCCCTGGCGGAAGTGTCGCTGATCTACATGATGGTGCGGGCAGTGCGGTGCTGGGAGCGGCCTCGGTGGCATCGCCAACTGAAGCGGGTGCATCGACGGCAACCGCCGTGACCATTGTCGCCCTGAACCGCCTCTGTCCCATGGGTCAGTCGATCCGGGTGGGCGCTCCTGAGCAGCGGGCGGCTGCGGCGCCCCAGCTGGGCTCACCGGCCGCCAGCCCAATGCAGACCTCCCAGCCCATGTGGCTCATCCATGACGAGACCGGCAGCACATCGGGTGCCGTACGAGGCCTAGCAGAGCACATGCAGCTCCCAGTGTACGGCATCAACATGCCGGACGTCTTGCCTCCCACTGGCGCTCCTACCGGAACGGCGGGGGCTGCCGGCAGCGCTGCAAGGCCGTCGTCTCCATCATCCATGACCCGCCTAGCGCAGCTATATGCCGCTGCCATCGTCGCCGCGCAGCCCCATGGGCCGTTCTGCCTGGCGGCGACCTCGCCCTTCGGTTGCATGGCGGCCTTCGCGGTCGCCACTGCGCTGGAGCAGCAGGGCCATGACGCCATGCTGCTACTCCTGGACGGGCCCCCATGTCCTCCCTCGACTGGCATCGTGGATCCCGTTTACTGCAGCCTCTACCAGACGCTCATCCAGCACGCCATGCAGCGCAGCAGCGGCGGTGGCGGGGGCGGTTCGCCCGCCGCAGCCACAGCCACGGAGTCGGCGCCGCAGCCGCCGCCGCACGTGTTGCCAGATCTGGCAACGTTCGTGGCTACACTGCAGAGCCGGGGCGCGGCATCGGATGACGCTGCGTCGCTGACCGTTGCGTCTTCGTCGTACAGGCCCACGAGCATGACACAGGAGGCTTGGAGTACGGCAGTGCTTTCGGCTGTCCGCCGTGCAGGTAAGGGGTCTGAAGCCCATTGCAGGCTCTGTTGCTGCGCACATGCCGGGTGGGCTGGTGTTAGCTACCCTCTCGCGTCGTCTTCACATAGGTTCCCGCAGCGTCGCCAACCACAGTCTTTCCTAACCCTTGCTGAATTACGCTGCACATGTGCACCGTGGCTCACTTTCTCGCATTCAGGGTCCACCCCACTCACATCCTCTTCCTTCGCCTTGCTCCCCTCACCAATAGGCATGCTGCGCCCGCTGGCCTCCGGCTACCGCCCTTCCAACTCCCTGCAAGGCCCGGCGGCGGTCGTGCTGCCTGAGGATCGGCACGGCGCTGCGTTCCTGGCGGCGGCGAGGCAGTGCTGCGACGGCACGCTGACGGCGCTGACGCTGGAGTGCCGACACGGTACGGCACTTGCGACGGAAGAAGGGCGCCAGGCTGCTGCTGCGGCGGTAATGGAGGCGGTGTGCGAGATGCTGCAGATGCTGTGAAGGAAGGATGTGGGAGTTAGGATCTTTGGAAGAGTTGCTGAGTTTGGATCGATGAAGTGAGGACGGTGTGAGTTGGGATCTAACATAAGAGTCTGTGTGTGGTTGTAAGTGGACTGAAGTTGCAAGCCAAAGGAGTAAGTTGCGCGTTGTCATCTTAACTTTGGTCAAGGGATGACGGTGAGAAGGGTTTGCGTAAGTGTCCAAGGGGTTCATCTTGGCGCCCAGTGACGAGCAGAAAAAAGGCAGCGGCTCGACAACCATGCGAAGTACGTGTGTCACAAGAAATGCCAGTACGCATACGGTAGAGGCTTGCCTTTCTATACTAGGATTTGCTAAAGGCTTTGATGTCGTTGCTGCACAGGCCAGGGAGAGGTGCTTGGAATATGTATGACATCCTATTGTGTGGGTGCACCCGAGGGCAGAACCTGGCACACGGGTGCTTGCTCTTGATGTAACCAGGTGTGTCGTGATGTCTACGAGTGGCGCATACTGATTTCATTAGGCATGCAGTCATGCAAATGAAGAACCACCTTTGGAGCGTTGGCGCGCTTGCAAATGCCATGGCATGCGCAGGTAGGCCCATACACACTGCTTTACCGACAACATCTGTCCAACACAGCGTAAAGCATATTAGCTTAAAATCAGATCAACAGGAGTATCAGAAGAAGTAAGAAGGATCGCATCAATATTGTGCCTGTCAAGATAACCCTTGGTGTGCGAATGGGTGTTGCCCATGTCCCACATAAGGAAACGCTTCGACCAAGGGACCTTTGGTGAAACAGCGAGCATTTATATCATAAATTCAATCAGCTTGTTCAAATCAGGTGCCCTAACGTTGCTTTGGTAGAGTCGTTACCCTCGGCAAGGCTAACCTGACATCCTGATTCTCCCTCCATGCAATCATCTAAGGATATAACCAGCAATGGGTTATACAGGTCTGGTAGCCGCGCTTTAATCGCGCAGAGCACGCCGACAGTTCGATGTGGTACGGAAAATGAGTGTTTGTGAGTACGCAGGGCATACAGCGCAATGCAGAGCATCTAGGTGCATGCCGCAAACGTATACTGGCTAGGCCTACGTCTGCTCAGGGAACCTATGGTATCCTGTCTTAGGCTTGCGATGCCCAGAACGCATTGGCAGCATTGCTGTCAATGCTTTTTCTTTGCGACATGTGATTCTCTAAGAAAGGTTGAGATTCCACAGTAGTATTATCATTGTATACAGCTCCCATGCGGTGTTACCTTCTGAGCATCCTACCTGTGGTTTCTACGCCTTTCACCTAAGATGACATTGGAAAAGGGAAAGGGCTATGGACAGGACCAGATACAACAGACATTGCAGGATAAGGCCAGGACGAGGCTAAATAGCCCAGCGCCCCACCAGGTAAGGATGCTACAAGCGTTGAGGCTGTTATTTTAGTTTATACAGAGTGTAGCTTTTGTTGTCGTAGAAATGAGGTGGCTGCCGCTCTCCATACTGCATACTTTTACAGCATTCTTGAGTAACACCGTTGGCGCTGATTATGCAGCAATATGTCGCAGTGACGGCGTCCCTTAACCAGTACTAAGACCTGTATATCGCAACACGCTCGATTCCGTGTGCCCCATCCATTTTCCATTCTTGGTTTTCCTTCTCCGCCCGGAACTGCCTTCTTCCTCGACACGTAGGCTCCGCAACGTGAGCGTGTTAGTCGCTCTAGCGTGCCCAACAGCCGGGGCGTGCCTACCCGTCGTCCAACTTCACGACGATGGAAGTCCCTTATCAGGCCGGATGTGAACATGGGCGTGCCGCAGCTTATGATGATACTGGAGCCCAATATCGTCTGGGAGCACATCAAGGCAAGCGTATGGACGGACCAGGGAAAGGATGGCAACCGTTGACAGGCGGGGTGACTCCATGCGCCTGGTTCTGTATCTCACAAAGGGTCCGTTTCACGCGTGTGCAGGCGTTCGTGCCAGCTGTCGGCAAGGAGGTGGAGGCCAGCGTCACTCCGGGGGAGTTCTTCGAGGGCTGGCACAAGGGAGGCCGCATGGTGCGCGACAGACCCATGGACCCTTCCTTGTCATCTGCGGGTTACCATGTATTTGCTCGGCACCCAGCCACAATTCCCGTCATGGTTGAAGCGGGACAGCGGCAGTGCTTGGGTTGCAGCACACCTGCTGGGGTTTGCCCGTGACGCTGTTGCCTCGCTGTTCCTACCGCGCAGGCTCATGGCGTGTACGAGGGCAGCTACTGGGAGCTCATGGGGGACTGTGACGAGCTGGCGGACATGCTCCGCAAGATGAGCAAAGCGCCAGCGCTTCAGGACGAGCCCACCCTGGAGCTCCCGCCGCCGCCGGAGTTGCCGTCTTGGGATGACTTCAAGCCCAACCTGCATCTGATCCCTGCCCCACCAACCATGCCACCCCTGAAGCTGCCTCCCTTTCGGGCGCCCATTTTGGAGACGGAGGTGCCGTTTGTGGAGCCGGACTATCTTCCTGTGCCTAACGTACCGCCAGCACCTAAGGTGCGTCCACGGCCTATCCGGCTGGCTCGTATTTAGTCACGCCTAGAGGTCGTAACAACCATCCTTTGCATACCCACATGCTGTCTGTGGCGTGGGGTCTCACCGGGACTTCCCGCCTACATGTCCTACACGACAGGAGGAGCCGCCCCCGGTCTTCATTCCGCCGGAGTTCCTGCAGCTGGATCCGCTGCAGGAGCCGCAGTACATCGACCCCGCACCGCCGGTGCTGTCCGAGCAGCCGCGCCCACCCGCCTTTGGCCAGCCCAAGCACGGGCATGACTGGTCGGGGTTGCGGCCCTTCCAGGTGCGTCTCTCCTGGTTTTCATCGTCGGTGCTGCGTCAGGCCGAAAGCTGTCCCGCATTTTGCCTCCTGGAACTCGGCAACCCGATGTTTGGAAGCTGAGGCAACACCTGTTGCTTGACATTACCTTCGAGGCGTCACAAAGCTGCATTTGGGACGTTTGGGCGATGCTGTGCTCTCTTTGTCTCCTCTGCACCCACCTGAAAACGCGGTCGACCCCCTCGCATGTGCTCCCAGCTCGATATGCCGGAACGGGATGCCTTCATGCGCGAAGCAGCTGCGCAGCGCGTCATGGACACGTCCCGCTGGGTGCACCCGCCCATGCACCTGCCGCCGCTGCCGGATCTGGAGCCCCTAGACCAGGACTTGCTCAGGGGTGGGTGCAAGCGGGCTACGGCAAGCGGGCAGGGGGCGTAAAGCCATGCGGCCTTTGTGCAAAACTGCTTGGATGGGGAATGGTAGCGAATGGGGTTGGTGGTGTGTGGCGGCGTTGAAGAGCTGAGTGGCCTCGAGTAGCACCAGGCTGCTACGGCGTAGTCAGTCCCCGCGTGACCTATCAGTGGCCATACCCTCTTCTCCTGACACAGGCTTGGAGCTGGAGCCCATTCCGAAGCTGGAGCTTGCTTGGATGGGCGGCCCAGAGCCGGAGCCGCTTTACGCGTCCATGCCCTCCACACCAGCCGCCCTCTCCCGACACTCCTCCAGGACTCCCTCACGGCCTACCTCGGCCCTAACGCCAGCACAGCAGGAAAGCGTAACCCAGTTTCAGGCGTCCCCCGTCAAATCCTCACCCTCGCGCCCTACCTCAGCCTTGCCGCCGGCGTTGCAGCCGCAGGAAAGCGCACAGGCGTCCCCCGTGAAAGCCTCGCCCTCGCGCCCTGCTTCAGCGCTAGTGCCGACGGCGCAGGCGAGCATGGCCGCGTCAAGCGGCTCAGGGAGGAGAACCACCACCTCACGCCCCACGTCAGCGCTGCCAGCAGCACAGGAAAGCCTGGGGGCGTCAAGCACCTCTGGAACAAGGTCCGTCACCATAATGCAGACGCCAGACGCAGCCACCCCAGAGCCGGTGGATGAGGGGCAGGCAGAGGAGCCGAGTGCCGAGGCGACGCCTGCGCCTGAGGGTGAGGAGGATGGCGCAGCTAAACAGGCGGAGTCTAGGGCGGAAACGCCTCCTTCTGGGAGGACGTCGGGGTCGGGGCTGCCGCGCAATATCTCGGAGACGCCTGTGGCGCAGCGGAAATCCTTTCGGCGAGGAGCCGTTGCGAGGCAAAGCAGCCGCGTGTCGATTCCCGTGTCTAGGACGCCTGAGGAGCTGGCGTGGGAGGAGGCGCGGTCCATAGGCTCAGATGCCTCTGGCACCCCGCGCATGTGGCTTAACTTCTCTGCGCCGTTTGCTGACCTGCCGCCAATCATGATGCCTCCACGACCTGAGCCGGTGGGTTGAGCCTTTGGCACGTTTACCCGCTGCTAGGCATACTAAGTCTGACCATGGGCTTATGGGCTTGACCACAAAGGGCACTGGCAGGATGAGGAATTGCTCTGCTGCTGTTAACCAGGGGTACCTACCGAACCCATCTTTCCGCGCCCCACCGCCGTCCCCTGACTTCCCTGCTTCTTTCATTCCCTCCTTCGCTCCAACAGGGTCCTGAGCCGGCGCCCGCTGACTTCCCTCACGAGCAGCTGGAGGAGCTGCCTGTGTTCCAGGCGCCCACGCCGCAGGACTTCCCGACCTACACGGCGCCGCCGCAGGTGGTGCCGGCGTGGGCGCCGCCCTGCGAGCCGCGTCCGGTGGGCTTCCTGCGGGGTGCCGCACCCGTGGTGATCTGCGATGTGTCGGGCACCATGAACCCGCGGCAGCAGGGGCGCTTCCGGGAGATGAAGCGGTGCGCCATGGAGTTTCTGGACCCGGAAGGTGGGCCAGGGTGGGGTTGAGGAGGGGGAGGTTGGGGGCAAGTAGGTCACGGCTGTGCATGTAATAGAGTGCTGTGTCGGCACGTAGGCAGGTCAGTAGGAGAGAGGGTTGGACTCCTCGTGGTGAGCCGTCTCCCATTTACGTGATGCTGCCGGGCACAGCTGCGTCCCTGGTTGTCCCATACGGCGCCGTGCTGCCATACTCCTTGAACGCGCTGCCGTCACCCATGTTGGCTCCTCAGGCGAAATCGCAACGGCCGCTGCTGGCTTCGATGTGATCACCTTTGCGGGCGGGGCCTGGAGCTGGAGCCTGGGGTACGGCGAGCGCATGGGGCTGCTGCAGAGCAGCCAGGTGCTGTACAGCGGCCGCCAGGTTGGAGGGCGATACAGCAACAAGACCCCACACAGCGGAGGTGGGTGGAAACACTGGGTTTCGTGCTTTGGTACAAGAGGCAAGGTAGCTTCCATGTCGCGCTTCCTTGGACTGCTGCTTGAGTGTTTGGAGGTATAGTGCCATGAGCAAGCTAATAGCACCTCGAAGGCAACTGGGGCGTAGGGAATAGCCAAATTGAGACGCTGTGACCGCTTCTGGCCGTCATCTTATTCTTGCAATTTTTTTATATTTAGACAGCGCGTCACCCCGTACTGCATTTGAAAGTTAACCTTCCTCCCCTCCCTGCAGGCGGCGCCTCCCGGTCAACGTCACCCGAGCGGCAGGGCGCCAGCAGCGGCGGTGGCGGCACTAGCTTTGGCGGGCTAGCACTCATGCCCACGCAGCCGGACCTGCTGTCGGATGCGCAGCGTTGGATTGCGAACTGGCCGGACGCGGTGGGTCAGACCTGCCTGCTCAAGGCCTTCAACCTAGCGGAACAGCACCAGGGCGCGGACTGCTGGTACATCCTGTCAGACGGCTTGGCGCATGACCAAAATGCGTGCCTTGAGTTCCTGAACACCCGGGCGGCTGCTGGCCTGCCGCTGCCCGTCATCCACGCTGTCGGTAAGCGGGGCGACGACGGCTGCACCCAGTGCATCTGCCACAGGGTTGAAAAGAAGCCGTGATGGGTTATGGTCAAGGTTATGATCCTGCCTCCAAACCCCATGCGCTCACTCGTTTGTTTGTGCTGTGCTGTGCGTTCAACTGTTATGCAGGCTTCATTCCGCCGGATGCCAACCCGGACAGCTCCGGTGAGCGCTTCCTGCGTGGCTTGGCGGAGCTGACCGGCGGCTCCTACCAGCGCTACACGCCGGACGTGGCCAAGGGTAAGACGCTGTGGAATGACCCATGGGGGCCACTGCTCGTGGTCTATCTAGACAGGGTATGCAACATGTCAGCAGATGCGCCCATGTTACCCGTGTAGCATTTACCTTGACCCTGCACGAACGCTCCAGCCCTATACAATGGAGGGGCTATCCAATCTTCCTGTGCTAATCTTCCTGGCATTGCCTTCGCCCTCCCTTTCTCCTCCACCCACAGTATGGCAACCCGGGCAGGGCTTTGTGCGTGTGGACCTGCGCAGCGAGACGCCGGAGCAGCGCGCCGAGCGGCAGTGGGCCGAGCGACAGCTGCGGGCGGAGCGCATCAAGAACATCCGGCTGGGCATTTCTGAGCCGCTGGAGGTCACCATGGAGCGGGTGGCGGTCATGCACCGGGAGATGCGGGTGCTGCCTGCGGTCCGGGCTAATGACGCGGCGGTGGCGGAGGCGCAGCGGCGGCATGTGGCGTTGGTTGAGGCCATCAAGGACGCGAATCAGAGGGCGCTGGCGGAGGCGCTGGCAGCCCATGAGCGAGCGGTGGAGGAGGCGCGTCGCCGTAACCAAGAGCGGGTGTGTATGGGCTGTGTGGGGACTGCGTGCATGGCACCACGTTGCAGCATGTGCCAGGGCCGGCGCCAGGGTTTTGGAATGGCTTCAGGGCGGGCAGAGGCGGAGGATAGTACTGGTGTCGCCTGGGGATGCGAGGCATCGTCTGGTATTGGGCAACCCCCTCAGCCTGTCGTCGTTGCTTCGTCCTAGCAAGACTGCCCTCCCGTCGGCGCCGTACGTCATGCCGCAGGTGGACAACGCGCGTGAGGCGTTCCTCCAAGCGCACGCGGATTGGGAGCAGGAGTACCTGATCAAGCTGCAGGTATGTCGGGTGCCGCCTTGGTACCCCACAGGGCCTTACTAGGGTTACTACCCTACCGAATCCTACCGATCACGCGCCTTGACTCCATGCTCCACCTCCGCAACACGGCCGGCACTGGGAAAACAAAGAGAGAGCCCGTCTTCCAGGACAAGCCTTTAACGAACCCACGGCGTATTGCCCGCCCACTTTCTCCCCTTTAATCGCACTCAGAACTGGGAGGACGCCAAGGCGATGTTGGAGCGCCAGCGAGACGAGCAGGTGGCCGCCGCACGAGACGCCGCACAGGCAGCTGCGCAGGCGGCATCACAGCGGCGAATGAAGAGCCCTGCCTCCCGGCCCACCTCAGCCGCCCTGTACGCGGCGCAACCCAAGAGCGACAACGGCAGCTACTCCTCGCCTCAGATAGTGGTGTCGGAAGCACGCGCAGCCTTCGCCGCAGCGGAGTACGACCTGGTCATGGGGCTGGAGAGGCACGCAGACAAGTTGTCGCCGCCTACGTCGCGTCCCTCGTCAGGGACGCAAGTCAGGTCCGCGCGAGGCAGCAGTCTGGGTATGAACAGCTCCACGGGCGCCCTAACCAGCACGCCTACGGCCGCAGCTGCCTCCGAAACCGCCCCAGTCGCCACCGGAGGTACCCCAACCGCATCACGCCCTCGGAGCTCCACGTCCAAGCCGTCTGGGGAAGACGGCGCAACGGCGGATTACCTTCAAGCCATCGCTGAAGATCTAGCAGAGGCGTCGGCGCCGGTGGATTCCATATTCACGGGTGGCGGCCAGCAGGGTTCCGGAGCCGTTGCTGAGATGGAGGGGCTGGATGATGACGGGCTGGATGTACGGCCCTCGTCTTCTCGCCGTTCCGGAGGACTCTCAGGACGGGACCAGAACACTAGCAGCGCGGGAAGGCGGTCTTCGCGGCCCCCCATGGATGAGTCTGGGATTGCCTTCCAGCGGCCGACCAGCGCCCGGGTTCAACCAGGGATGACACCCCAGCGGCCTCCCAGCGCACGGGTCGAGACTGGGGCGACACCTCCACGACCCATTAGCGCAAGGCCCGAGGCTGGCTCCACGCCCCAGCGGCCAACCAGCGCAAAGGTTGACCTCGGGATGTCACCCCAGCGTCCGATGAGCGCACGGGGCGAGCCTGGGTTAACACCCCAGCGGCCTACCAGTGCTCGTGTCGAGCCTGGGATGACGCCCCAGCGGCCGACCAGTGCACGGGTGTCGAACAGCCGCCTGTCGGGGCAACAGTCTGCGCGACTGACCGGAGGGCAGTCTTCGGGTATGGGCAGCATGCCATTGTTGCCGGAGGGCTCGCCGATGCCGCCACCATTGCCCGAACCCTCGGCGCCGCTGCAGCCGATGCGCGGAGAGAACAGTGACGACTTCAAGGTACGCCGGGAGGAGGCGCTTGTAGCGAGGGCATTGCTTAGGTGTCGCTGGGGCCATTGCATGGAAGTAACAACCGAGTTGCAACACCAGATGCGCTTTTGACCGGCGTATGAATCCAGCCCTATGCTGGACCTCATAAAGCATTGCCTGCGAATTGACTAGATGGTCTGTCTAGGGAGTTGCTTAGGGGCACATTGCCCCCTGACGTATGTCCTTGCCTTCTGACGTATGTCCCATCTGACGTGAACGAAGATCTAAACCGTTCCGACCCCACCACGCCCCTCGTAGCGCCGCTTCCTGCCGTCCGAGGTGGTCGAGGAGCACGATGCCAACAACGCGGAGCGGCTGAAGCAGATCCGCGAGCAGTGGGAGGCCATTGTGGCAGCCGACCTGGCTGCCGGCCACGGCCGCAAGGTGGCGGCGCTGCACCGCAATGCCAAGCGCATGGAGGAGTACAGGCAGGCGGTGTACGACACGTACGCGGTGGGACTGCTGCGGGATGTGGTGTACGGCGGCGCTGTGGTCGTGGCCACCAACCTCGCCATCATGGTAGGTGCAGGGGGGGGGGTTGCAGGGGAGGACGTGTGGCTCTGGATACATTTGGGTGAAAAGGCGATGGGAGGCGCTGCTCTGCATGACGCACCTGGCACCACACGTCATGCCGATGCTTTGGAAACGGGCTGCCGCATGTTCCACATGATGGATGGGCGCATGCAACTACATTGCATGGATATGGATGTCACTCAGCGTCATGCACTCGGATTCTTGTATGTTACAGGATAACGGAGAGGCTCGCTACCAGGCGGAGGTCGCGCGGATCACCGCTGAGAATGCGCGACTGCGTGAGATGCACGCCGCCGAGCTTGAGGAGCGGAAAGCCAAGGAGGAGGCGCACGCGCAGGTGAGGGCTGCGGGGGCTACACGCTGGGGTTGGGGTGTTGAAGGCCTCGGTGCAACTGGACGATGGGCCTATGACGGCTGCCCTGTAGCCCCCCATAGGATGCCGCAGCTTGTTGGTTATAGAGCGACCGTACTTGGTCCTGCTACACAGCCTGGTAGTTCCGTTGGTTTGGTTGCCGGTGTGAGCAAGGTCGCGCGCGTTGCTGCCACAGGCGGTAGGGAGATGGCAGGAGACACGCGATGCGATGCTGGCGGCTCACGAGGAGGAACGGGTGCGCGCGCGGAAAGAGCACGAGGAGAACCTCACGCGGTTAAGAGAAGAGTGGCAAGCGAAGAAGCAGCAGGTGAGTTGCATGACTGGTTTCGGAACTGCTCTCCTGCGCCCTATTGTTGCGCTGCAACACAGCACGCATCCGGGGCAGTCCGGGGCATCCACATGTACTAGAACTTCCAGACCGGGCGTGTAGTAACATTCTCCTCATTCCTTCCATCCCCGCCCGCGCAGATTGACGAGCTCAACGCGGCGCGGCTTGCGGAGGCTGAGACGATGCACGCAGCGCTGGTGGAGTCGGTCAAGGAGGCCAACAAGGCCCATAAAGCGGCGCATGTGGAGATGCTGCGACAGCGCAAGGAGATTGAGATCACCAACCTTAACAGGCTGGTGAGTCGCAGGGCAGAGCGCAGGGGGCAAGGTTGCGGACCGCCGCATGCGCCTGCAAGTCGCGGACCCTGTAACCCTTGTTCGGCATACACCGTGCGGTTTTGAAGCGGCGGATGTAAAAGTGCCCGAACTTGCGGGGACAAATGGCATATGTGCGAAGGTTGGACTGATGATGCGCTCGCATAAGATCTCCTTGCCACTCCGCGACCGCAGGCTGAGGCCAAGACCGCTCATAAGGTTCGGCTGGAGGCGCGCGCCGCGGACAATGAGCGGCTGGTCAAACAGGCCATGGAGGAGCACCAGGTGCGCTGGGGCCCAGTTGGTGGAGGGCTGGAAGGTCTTCGTTTCAGGTGTTCAGTCTGGGATTTCCTTACCGCATCTGCTCGCCGCCGTACACAGCTCAGAGGCGCGCTGCTTGCACACCTGCTCTTGCCCTCTCCTGAAACGCAGTCCGCTTCTGCTGCATGACATGGCTGCTGCGCTTAGGTAGCAACACAACATGGGAAAGAATGCAGTCCTGGCACCTCTATCATGTGTCAACATATCAACGTGTTCCATGCTGCCCCCCCCCCCCCCGCCCCCAGGCGCTGTGCGTTCGGCTGGGTGAGGAGTATGAGGAGGCGCGGGTGCAGGCGGAGGCTGACCACTCGGAGCTCTGCACCTTCCTGCGGACTGCCAACGAGCAGCTCACAGAGGAGGCGCGGCGGAGGTACCAGGAGGCGTTGTCGGAGGTGCAGGTGAGGTGATGGCTGTCGCCTGATGTATTGCTATGGCTGCAACCTGCAAACTCACGCGGTATCGCACAGCGGCAATGCCATATGATGCGTTATTCAAGTTGCACAGCTTCCTTGTTGGCACACAGCTGGCTGCGGTGCGCGCACACTCCTAAAATGCGTGAGGCTGATGCGACGGCTGTCCCACTCCTGCTGACCTGGGCGCAGTCCGCGTACGATATCGAGTGCGCCGCTGTGCGGGAGGCGCATGCTCGCGACCTGGACCGCGTTCGGCGGTTTAACCAGGAGATATGGCCCAAAGTACACGTGGCGCGCTTGGCGCAGGTAGGACGTGGGCCTTTTGAGCTAGGTACCTTCTCCTAAGGGGCATGTTCCGGGAAACAGGAAGCTTGCATACTTTGTTTCGTTGTGTAAGGAGTAGTCCTCGGCGTAAAATGAACGGTCGCCGTATTATCATGCTTTGCAGGCGGAGTTGGGACGCGTTCAGGCGTTTGCGGAGCACATCCGCTACTGCGCCAACAAGTTCGAGCTGGGTGTCAACTTGATGCCCAACACGCCCAACTACGACCGCGTCGTGGAGATGCAGGTGCGCCCCCGGCTTTTAGCCGTGCACCTCCAAATGCGATTTAGCTGCCCCTGATACGGTATCAGAAGGCGCATGGCAGTACCGGCCACGGCAAAAGAAGCTCACCAACATGATGAGCCTGTCGCTTTCCTGTAACCTATTGGCTGTTATCTTCTCCCCTCACGTTGGGTATTCTCCCCTCCCGTGTTTGCTATCCTGCTGATTCAGGCGCTGACGGAAGCGCTGGCCAAGGCGTTCCCAGACATGCCGCCCCAGGCCCTGCCCTGGCCTGAACACGAGCGCCGGTTAGAGCCCGGCACCGGCTGGGTGGCTGCCCCGTCTCCCCGACCCCTCACCTACCGTGATCCCGCGGACATCATCACCAAGATGGCAAAGGTGGGGTGCTGGCAATGCAAACCAGTGCTGCTACATTTGTTATAATTGTGTATTTGCGTTACCCGCGGTACCCGATTGTACCATGTGTTCGCCTCTGTTTTTAAATTTCATGAAGCCCGTCGCATGTGCAACACCCTGCTGTGTGGTGTCCTTTTACTTTTCATCGCTCCAGGGCAAGGTATCGAGCAACTCGCCGTCAGGGTCGCCCGGCTCCACCACACCTCGCGGCGCCTCAGCAAACAGCCGCCGCTCGCCCTCGGAACGCCAATCTTCCGCAGGGACGGCGCCGCCAGCGGCGAACACGGACGAGCAGCCCCAACCGCAGCAGCCAGGTGGGCGGCCCGGCAACCGGCCGCTATCCGCAGGAAGGGCGCGCTTTGCAGGCGTGCTTTCCGCGGATTCAGGCGTAAGTTTACGGCCGCATTCTGCTGCTGTCGGCGCAGCCAGTACCGGCATTGTGGAGGCATGGGCCACGGCGGTACCCTTGGCCCTGTCGTCCCCTGGGGGTGCGTCGTCGTTTAGGCCTCAGTCTGCCGCCGGCTACAACAACCCGTCTGCCTGGCGCCGGAGCAACACAACAGTCCTGCGCACGGCTTCGCCGCGTGGCTTCACCGCATCCAATTTGGGATCCGCCGCGGCTGCTGTGGCTGCGGCAGCGGCTGCCAACGCATGCCGACCCGGCGGGTCGGCCCGGCCCTTGACGGCGTTGGGCGCACCGACGCAGCCGGTGCCGGTGACCAACTCCATGAACTCACCACGACCTAGGAGTGCTGGCTCGGTGCCGCGACCCGCACGTGTTGCGGTGGACATCGTTCCGCTGCAGGTGCGTGCGCGCATGTGTCACCTTGGCATACGGCACTTCGTATATAACGCGGTCCACGCTGTACGAATTGCATGCACACACGCTCCCTAACCTTCCATTCACCCAGCCGCACGTTTTCCGCTACAACGCGACGGTTGAACTCGAGAGAGTGTTTTGCCCCTGCATGTAGTAGAGCATCTGCTCCCTTCCCCGTCCTTGCGCCCTGCAGGCAAGCATGGCACGTGCCAAAGCACAAGCCGGTGCTCACATGCTCACGACGGCAACGTTGGCGGGCTTCTCCAAAGACGTGCCCAAACTGCGGTACCCGGAGGTCGACGTCCAGCAGCCGCTTTCGTTTGCCAAGTGATCCGGGATGCAGTTGATTAATAAAGCGAGGAGCGGGGGGCGTGCAGGTGTATCTTGGCTTGTAGATATGGTGATTCCCTGGAATACGTTTTGAAAGGTGGCACGCCCCTGTGCATTGACGCATGCGTTTTTTGTTGTGATCGGACGTGGTAGCTGTTTGCCTGCCTCCTTCAGCACAAGCGGTGGCAGGATGTAGAACTGAACAGGCTTGGATTCAGAGGGAGTTACCGTACAGCTGTTGGCAGGAATGCCCCGAGACTGCGTTACCAGGACCCTTTTTATTACGGCTGCTGAAGTGGCCTCCTGAACCGCTGACCTATGCCATGCCCCTTTGCATGGTTCGCTGAAGATAGTCGGTACAGCAATCCTTTCCTGTACGAAGACTTTGGCCTGCAGGACTCTGAACCCCATGCATACATGCATGGGATGCCGGTGTTAGGACAGTTATGGGCACTCACTTATACGGTGTGCTTGCAATGTTGTATCGCTAGACCTCCGCTTGGGAAGGTAATATCCCCTTCGAGGGGTAATAGTTTGGCGATACCAGCACGATTGTAACTGTTCTGTTATACAAATGCTCTGTAAGAACTCACGCTGTAAAACCCTCCAGCCACTCCATTCCTCAAAAAACACCGGTATTATTCATACCCAGCGACGCCAAAAAACAAAATGGCAACTGCAGGCTGCCTTTATGCGGCTTCCCGGGCACAGACTCCAAATACGACTGTGGACGTCGGCCAGCAAGCTTTCTCTCCTGATTATCAGCGGTTGCGGCTCAGAAGGGTGGCTGCGTCGTCCAGCTCCTGCAGCACATGAAGAGGACACACGAAGTCAAGCACGACTACGGTAACCCATGCACCGCACAGCCCAGGAGGTGAAGCGCAAACGCATGGGTTATTGACAAGGCTGTACGCTTCCATGGGAGAAGGCTTGCGCAGAAGGTTTGCGTGGTGTAGAATTGTACGACGAGGCACAAGCCATACCACAGGGTGCCAACCAAGACTGCTATCAAGCCCAGTAACACACAACAAGCCCCACACGACCAACCTTTTGGAGGCGCTCCATGCGCTTCTTGGGGATGGGGGCGGTGGTCCCGAAGGAGTTGAAATGCCCCGCTAGTGCGTTGAGCGCGGAGTAGGTGTTCCTGTGGGTCACGTGGGGACCGCGGCGGGCAGACGAGTCACAAACGCTGTATAGCCGGGCCATGGCGTGCTAAGGTACTGCGGTAAGGCTCCGCGCCAACACCGGCTACGCATCGGCGAGCTTGTATGGCCAGAAAATCGTGAGGTAATCAGGTGGACTTCAGGTGCTAGGTATATCCCTGCTTGCTACCAAGCGATACACGCATTCAATCTTCCCGCCCCGCGTTTTGCCCTCGGGTGCGCTTTCCTTGTATTCCCTGTCCGAGCTGCAAGGCTCCCATGCAAGTGTCACATGCGGCCACCAAGCCCACCGCCTGCTCACCCGAACGACGGCCTGCCCGCCACCTTGGGTTCGCGGCGGTACTTGGCCACCCAGCTGTTGATGTCCTTGCGCAGGGACTTGACGCTGTCCTCCTTGGCCGGGTCGTCCTTATCCAGCGCGATGGTGGACTTGACCTTTGTAAGGATGGCGGTCTGGATGGCACGGCGCGGGGCACAACAGCGGTGGGGGAAGGGGTGCGTAGCAGTAGGGTGTGGCACAAGCCAGGAGGGAGATTTGGGGTAGAGCCTCAGCAAAGCCTGGCTCCGCGGCCGAAAGAGCCTGGCGGCCTAAGCTGAAGCGGAGGAAGTGAACTTCACCAGGTATCATGGCCATTATCAGTCTGAGCAGGGGGCGAGCTTCTCTACGCTTAAGCGTCTGCTTTTTACTACAACCCAGCACTGGAGACATGGATGGGTCCGTGGGTCCAGGACCGAAATGTACCACCGTACTGGGCCCCTCTTACGCGACTGTTGAGGAAGCTAAACGAGCGAAGTTAACGGCTTGCTTACCGTCTCGCTAGTGTAGTCCGCGAACAGCTTCGCATTGTCGTCGGCAAAGCCAAAGATTGCATGGGCAGGGCTTGAGCTCAACAGGAGAGAGATAGCCGCAGCGGATGCGCCCAGCACCTCCCGCCGGGAAACGGGGACCTGTGATGTCAGGGGTAGGATTCGCGTTGCATTGCATTTTGCCAATGTACTCTATCGACACCCCGCACCCATCCCTATTCCGCCAAGCGAGTAGTGAGCCGGCAATGAAACTAAGAGTTTGTTCTTTGTGTGTTAAAGTACTCCATTGATAGAGTAGATCGCGACATCAGTGCCGAACATCGGAAGCTTGCATACCAGTCCCTTGACGCACCTGAGGCTGAGCTGAGGCTACAACCGACAGGCGTCTTGCCGCTGGGCGCACATTCCTGTATTTATTGAGAAGTCGTAGGGTAATCCTTTAAATGTGACTACGTCAGATGCAAGCACATGAGCCACTTATCGACGGTCTCTCACCTGCCGCGCGAAATGGCAACGTTCTTTCCAAAGGCGCAAGTGAGAGATGCCATGGTTTCCGTATTATGTGAAATTAGGGGGTGGAAGGGCTGACAAGCGAATACCAAGGATCTCAATGTACGACTTGGCTCCGGAATCGCACCACAAGGCAAACTCTTACTTCTTACCGGTGCTCCTTACTGGTTGTCTGAAATGAAATTTATTAAATGCTGTTATGTTGTCGAGGTTGTACGTGGTGGTGCGATATGTATGTTCGTCATGGTTGACAAGCTCCAAGATTGATCTTGCATCCGATGATACAAGGTTTATGCTATGTACGCAGTAGTTGAACCCTGGATACCCAAGCTTCGGGATCGCATGGGGTCGCCGAGGCTTTGGAAAGAAGGCATGCTTGCAAGATAGAAATTTCACAGATGCACCGCACCGCATAAGTCTGCATACCTTGAGGGTACGACCTGTTTGCGTCTTCCTAAATGTATTACATAACATCCTCCCAGGGCAGGAGTGGGTCAACGTGTCGCTTGCTGTCGCCAATCCTACCCAATCAGTCACGGAGGAAGCACCGGAGCACCTGCATGAGCGTGACTCGCATATCCCTCACATTGCCCAGTTTGGAATGCTCAACGATTACCGTATAACGCAAACCGTAGGAATGCAGCCAACGCGCATGAGGGACTGTTCCGTTGTTGACCCGCAAAAGCAAAACCACTTGATTGCCGTACAACCCGCCATTGTAGCAGTTACCTGATGTGGGAACATGCGTCGCTTCAGTGTGTGATCACGTAAAGCCGTAATACCGGCCTTCACAACCCCGAAGGAGGAGTAATCGGAGGCAGGGCAACGTCAGTGGCCGGTGGATGGGTTATAGGGGTTTAAACTGGGGTGGTGGCTACGGCTTTCGGGCTTCCCCTCGGCGGCAAGAGCAGGTGTCGAAGTGCTAACAGACACCGGAGCTGCACGGTGTGGGAACTCCCTTGACCTGATGCTGCAAACTTGGGGATGCCGAGGGGCGAGGGCTATGACGGGCCATGACGACACGTTTTTGCCGTGCTATGTATGTGCACGGCTGGAGTCAGTTACAAAGGTGCACAGGAAACGTTCCGGTGGTGTGCTCCAACTCTGTTGCAAGGCTCAGGATACAGGTACGCTGTACGGCAGGTAACTCCATCCGCATCCCGAACTCAAGCCTGCAGTGGCCTGTCTCCTTGTCTTTAGCTAGATGCAAGTGTACCTAAGCCAACCGGTGGCCAAACGCTAGCTTTGTGTGCCCACTACTGACAGTGCGTTTGTAATTTTGGCATTGAAAAACATTCACCAAGCCCCAAGTTGACGGTTTCAATCAGTAAAGCACAATAGAAGTATAGACCCACAGGGTATGTTTTAGGACACCGTCATTCCTACTAGCCGGAATAGCTCTGTGCTGCAAGGAGTGTAAAAGTCGCGACCCTACAGGACCATACGAATGCACGAAGTATGCCTTGCAAACCGCGTGTCTTCTATGCAATATAAAACAGCGTTAGCAGTATGCGCCAGAGTGGCAGCCAGGACGGACCCGCTTCTCAAGGCGAGCCGTGGCTTCCGCCGATAAATCGTCAGCCAACCTCGTCACAGCCCAGAGACCAACCCGATCAGCACGCAGACAACCATCAATCACAGACTCGTTTATTTTGGGAAAGCCTTGACATCCCGCCGTGCTTTGACGAAGATTGGGAGGAGGACCTAGATGAGGAGGCCCAACCCGCCTGCTCCCACCGCTGCTCCGTCTGCAGCTGGGAGGGGCTGCTGACGGCAGCTGCTCGCTGCATCCAGCAGCCCCAGTCAGCGGCCAGCAGCGCCGTACATGCTCTGGCGGAGGCGGAATGGAAGTACGCACCCAGCTGTGTGGCGGGGACGCGGCGGCTGGCGTCGCTTGTGTTATGGGACGTCATCCACCCAGATTCCAAATTCCGGGCCCTATGGTACGGCAGTTCGATACGGCAGTTCGGCTTTTAAGTGCGTAAAGGGGGGAGAGGAGCAGTGGGTGATGTTGGTGTTCTTACGGGGTTATCAGCAGGCGCCTTCCCCAACCCTGTCCAGAAGCAGATGCTCGCTTCCCTCACAAACGTTCCCACCCTTCCCACCTCGATACAGTTCCTTACAGTTCCCTCCCTTCCCCTTCCGGCAGGGATACCTTCATCATCGCGCTACTGCTGTACGTGGCAGTTGTGACGCCGTACGTTATCGGGTTTGACGTACAGTACGACAACAAGTCCTTTCTGGGTAGGGCCTCCAGCACAGCTTCGCCTCCTGACCGCAGGCTCCCCAGCGCAAGCAGCCGATCCCCAGGTTGCCGAGGCCAACAGCGCCTATCGATGACCGCGTCCTGCTATCTACCGTATCTGCTCGTTTGCTTGTCATACCCAGCGCCCTGCTACCTCATTGTTGTCGCCGCCCCCTTCACCCACCCGCAGGTGCCATGGAGATGGCGATCAACGGCTGCTTCTTCCTGGACGTGTTCCTCAACTTCCGTACGGCGCTGCGCAAGGGGGAGTACCCCGCTGCCGCCGGCCGCCGAGCCGAGGTGATCGCTGACCGCGCTGTCATCGCGCGTGTCTACCTGACGGGCTGGTTCGCGCTGGACTTCTTGGCTGCACTGCCGTGGAAGGAGGTGAGGTGGCGTGGAAGGAGGTGGAGGATGCGTTGAAAGGAGGTGAGGTGCCGTGAGAGGCGGTGGAGAATGCGTGGTTTATGGGTCCATGAAGCAAGCGATGACGGACAGGGATCGTGGCATGGGCTTTGCATGACCCTGCCAGGCACGAGGGAGGGAAGGTGAACGTGCGGTTGGAATAGGGGTCCAAGGCCGCGGGGAGGAGGAGAACGATGAGGAGGAGGAACAGGATCTCAGAAGCCCCTCTGCTGTGTGACACCCTGCTTACCCTGTGTTACACTACGTGTCGTGTGCGCCACCGCAGATGGTGCGCTCGCTGGGCGCCTACATGCAGCTCACCAAGCTGCCCCGGCTGCTGCAGCTCACCAGACTCCTGCGGCTTGTCAAACTGGTGAAGGCGGTGCGGGTGAGGCGTCGGCGCGCGGTGTGTGTGCGTCTCGTAATGCCGTACACGCGCACTGTCTCGCTTCAAAGCATGTAATGTCCAGGTCGCGCAAGAGCAGGATACCGCGAAGCCGTACCGCGCAGCGCAAAACCGAATCGAGTTGCATGCACAGTTGCCAGTCGCAACCATTTACGCCATCATCCATGTTATACTGTTTACCCCACGCACCCCGCGCGCCATCTGATGAGTAATGACCCACGGGTCGGTCACTGCCTCGCTGCGTCTCCACCTGCCCGCCCAGGCGTCCAACATGTACCGCCATGTGGAGCGGCGGCAGGGAGTGGCGGCACCCCGGGTGCTGCTGTACGCGCTGGGTGCGGTGCTGGTGCTGCACCTGGGGGCGTGCGCCTGGTACTTCGCGGCACTGGTGGAGAGTGAGCGGCTGCTGGACACGTGGGTGGAGAGAGCGGGGCTGCAGGACGCATCCAAGATGGACCTGTGAGTCACGGGCGGCGGAGGGATGCTGTGCTGATTGAGAGGGGCTGGGATGGTGTTAGGCTGTGTTAGCTGCTGGGTTGCTGCTGGATTGCTGGAAAGGGAGCAGATTGAGGGAAATGGTGTTAGGCGAAGAGGCTTGGAAGTACGGTAGACGAGCGGTGCGGGGTCCCCGCATAGGCTTGTTGGTAGCCACGGCGCCGCTGGGGGTTCCTTACCCGCCCACCACTCATGTGCGTTGAATGCCAGGTTCTGCTGCCCCACTGCTGACCTCAAGAGCACACATTCCAACGCAGGCTACCCCCCTGTCTGCCTGTCTACCTTAGCACCACCGCCCTCCAGCCGCTTCACCTGACACCACAGACCCATTCCCTACCCATGCTGCCCTTTAACATATGGTGTGGTGCATCCTATAAACCCCCTCCCCTCCCGATCCCCACCATCCGCGGCCCCCAGCTACATCACCTCGTTGTACTTCATCGTGCTGACATGTACGACGGTGGGCTATGGCGACATATACCCGGTCACCTCCGCGGAGCGGCTGCTGGCCTGCTTCGGCATCCTGCTGGGGGTGGTGACGCTGAGCTACATCGTATCCACCGCCAACACCATCATCAGCAACTCCAACAAGTACGAGGTAGGGGAGGTACCGGTAGCAGGAGGAGGAAGGGGAGACTTGCTGGGGAGAGGCGGGTATAATCACGGGGTATGACCAGCATGATGATAGCCCATACATACCGTACTCCGTACATGCGGGTAAACCGGTGTGCTGTGACGTGTGACATGTGCTACGCTGTGCTGTGAGATGGTGGACGCAAGCTCCGATTTAGTACCGTGGCATGCCCACGTGGCCTCGCTGCTGTCGCCCTGCCTCTACACGCACCATGCTACCACGCTTGTTACACGCTCCTAACCCCCAATAACCCCACCAGATGAGTCGCGCGGAGACGCAGGCGCGTGTTGCGGAGTTCCTGGGCAGCCGGCCGCTGCCCTGGTCGCTGGCCACCCGCGTGAAGCGCTACTACGACACCGTCTCCAAGCTGCAGTTCAACAATGAGGTGGACAGGGCGCTGGTGGACGGTGAGCGAGCATTGCGTGGCTGGCTGGCTGGCTGGCTGGCTGGATGGCTTGGGCGGCAAAAGACGTTGCGGCGGCTTGCTTGTAGTACGATAGTTGCTGCTGACATCTTCACGGCGGATCTTCACTGCTTGCGCGGACATCCTTTTTTGCGTTGTTAGCGTCCCCATGCTGGCTACCTAGCCCTGTCCAGGGGCTCTAGCCTCATCACCCGCCAGACATCCGCTCATTCCTGCCCCGCAACCCCACCATGACTCCCCTTCTGGCTGCCTCCCCCTTCTGCCTGCCGACAACCACCACCACCACCACACAGGTCTGCCGGGCAGTCTCCGCCGGGACGTGCTGCGGGACCTGCACGCCAGCCTCATTCGGCGGGTGCCCCTGCTGCGGCGCTGCTGCTGCTACTGCTACCCCGGCGGAGGCGGCGGCGGTATTGGTGGTGGTGATGGTGCACAAGGGGGTGAGGAGCTGGTGCTGGAGTTGGCGGCGCGGCTGCAACTGCAGGCCTTCCGTAACGGCGAGTGCGTGGTGATGGAGGGCGGATGGGACACGGAGCTGTACTTTGTGATAAGTGAGTGGGGGCTGGAGGCTGGGCAGCGGGCACATTACATGGGAAGGGAAGGGGGCCGAGTGCAGCAGCAGCAGCAGAGGCTGTATTGCATGGAAAGGTGATTGAAGAATGGTCCCATTCGATCTCCCGGGCGGTTGCAGGTGCACATGCAAGGCATCCTCTGACTCCCAACACTGCTCTCTAACCGTATTATTACGCCTCAGCCATCTGCGCCGTTGCCTGGCAAAAGTTACAGTCATGCCGCATCTTTCTCGCATGTCCTGTACCTGCGTCCACACTGCCCCCTCCTTTATGCCGCATGCATGCAGAGGGCCGTCTAGCAGTACGGCAATACACCCACAGGTGCCCCACCATCGTTGTGGCGACCATTCCAGCTAAGGGCACCCTGCATGAGGATGCCTATGAGCAGCTGGCTGCTAGCGCCGTAGCGACCCGTGGGTCGGTCGTGGCGTCTGCCGGTTCCAAACAAATAGCAGTAACGGCGCCCGGGTCGGGAGGCGTGAAATCGAAGGGAATGGGAAGCTTTAGTAATCGCGGTGGAATGGCAGGAGGAGGAGGAACGCATCTACCACCTCTCCTAGAGCAGGAACGACAACAACAGCAGCAGCAGCAACAGCAACAGCGGCCGTGCATGTCACACGCTATGCAGCATGATATGGCCCCTGCTTCCCCCTTCCTGGAGCCGAGACCCATGGGTCGTGCCCCGGCAGCGTTGAGCACATTGGATGAGATCTTGTCTGAAACAGGGTTAGGATCTCCGAACAAAGACTTGGAGTCACAGCTAGAAACTGCAGCGACCCATGAAACGAAGCTGGAGAAGGAGCAATTGCCCGCAGTAGCCGGTGCGAGCAATGCGGGGTTCGATGAGAGTAAACCTGGTGCTGATAAACCTTGCGCAGCTGAGGAGCAGGACTACCGCAGGCAGCACTGGCAAGTACGATACAACCCCAAGATGCCGTACAGGCACCTCCGCGTGCTCATGGTAGGCTGCTGCGCCGGAGTTGGTGATCCATGGGAAGACGTCTTGTACCCGTGGGGGTTTTGACAACCGGTAGTTTTGCGTGAACGATGCTTCCCTTGTTACGGTTGCACTTCCGGTTGTGGTTTTCTTGGCCCTTCTACGCATCTCTGTATCCCTTCATGCAGACTGAATCCCAACCCTTTTACAAGACGACATCAAATGTCCCCATTGTGCCCCAACGTACGGTATGTAACCCCGCAGCCCGGCAGCTACTTTGGCGAGTACTCCTGCCTCACGGGCTGTCCTCGTACGGCAAGTGTAGTGGCCAGGCAGGTTTCGGAGCTGCTTGTGCTGAGCCGGTCGGACCTGGTGGCGGCCATGTCGCGCTGGCCGCACCAGCTGAGGACCTGGAAGGTAGCTAGCTAACGAGCTAGGCGGGACACCGGTAGATGCAGGGAAAAGCTTACCGGTAGTAGGCCTGGGTTAGGTAGGCATCGCAAGGGGCTGCCCTGGCCTGTGCAGCCGTCCTGCAACTTCCGCCCGGTCTCCTTCCACATAGCCGCCATGACAGAAGTGTCTACCGTACTAATTGTCAAGAGGGGCACTCAAGTGCACGCTATGTTGCTATGGGTACCTTACCTCTTGCTAGGATACGGTACACGTACAGCGTTTGGATGTCCACCACACCGCAGGGTTTTTTGTTTTTTTTGCATGCATGGCATGTTGCCTCCTCCCGCATGCCGTACATACACACCGGTGCCGTACTCAGGAGTGCGAGGCGTACGGCAACCAGGAGCGCGCACGTCTCCGGCGGCAGCTACACCTGGCGGGGCTCAAGCAGGTGCCGCAACCCGGCAGCGCCGCAGCAGCGGACGCCGCTGCCGGTGGTGGTGGTGCGGCAGCTGCCCCGCCGCCGCCGCCAGAGCAGCCTCCGGGCCGGGGCGATGAAAGCGGTGAGGATGCAATCCACAGCGAGCAACGGTATCAGGGCTTCTTGAGGTTTGTGCGAAGCAGAGAGTCCTAGCGATTTGGGCCTAGTGCTGAGGCCTGAGGGTTCACTATGAGTTGCTAGGAGTAGCCCCCTTGCAGCCGTATTATAGTGGGCTCTACCCAAGACGATGTGTCGTATTAAGATAGCGGTAGTGAAAGGAGGTACACTTATTACTACTACGTCACGCCGGTCCAAGGGGCATGGCTGTGAGGAAGGAGGTATGTTAAGGACACCGGTAGTAGCACTGGAGTAGGCATGCCGTGTCCAGAGGTAGTTCGAGTAGTAGCTAGCTGGTGATGAAGCTGTAGTGGTGCTGTGCTGTGTAGCCACTGCTACTGCTCCGGTCGAGGAGGAGGGCCATGACTGGGATGGGTCGCTGAGGTGCATGAGGCCGACCCACCCCGTCCGCCCCCAAGCCGTGTTGTACATCATCAGGTGCTGGGCTGCGGGCTAGCTAGCTGGCTTGCGAGCTGTTGGGCGGCGCAGAGGGGCCTGCCCGCCTCGGTGGCATGAGAGCAACAGCCCTGTTACCGTATACCGGTGCTGCAACACACGTGACGCAGGCGTGTCGCAAAGCAGACAATGTAATCACTTCTCTGCATACCGGTACTGTCGTGGTCATGGCCACATCACAGCATACCACACCCACATCGACTATATACCTGATAAGTGCGGCCCCCGTGATAAGTGCTAAACTGTCCATGCTAAACACAGCAGCGTGCCGTGCGGTAGGACAGGAGCATGGTGGTCTACCCCACATGTCCGTCATATCCCAACGCACGGATGGGTGTGATGCCTACGCCAAAACACCAGCAGCCCCAAAAGGCACCCCTGCTACGTACCAGTAAACCAAACAATATGCATTATGGCAAATGGCATCCTAGCGAGTGTATAGAGTACTGGCCCCAAAACTGACACTGACCTAACGAGTATGTAACGGACATGATTTTAGGAAGACATGTCTTCAGGAACATGGCCAGTTCGTACAAGACAAGGAAAAACGTACGAAAGCCAGCAAGAAGCGGCTGCTTCTAAGATTAAACGGCGTCTGACATGAAGCATAGTCCTATAACGCAGTAAGACCCGACATTGGACACGCATGTGGATATATACATAACCCCTCCTGCAGCATCTACCCTTCAACGGTAAACAGGCGCCGACAGGCATGGCCAGTGTGGCCGAACAGCCGTTTGTTCAGAAGCATGAAAATGGGTCCATGCTTATCGTCAGGTATGTAAGCAGGCGAGGTCGCGTCCATTTCGGGGAAGAAGTTTAACACCACCGCATGGACCAACTCATGGCCAAGAGCATGTGCAAGTGCCTCCAACTTGCTGCTGCAAAGCGTGCCCTCGAAATCCAAGGGGCTGACATCGGATATGCTTTCCCGCCAGCGGTTAGCATTGATGTAAATGGTGTTGTCCTCGTGCAGGCCTGACAGCCATGAATGAGGATCCCGCGGGTCAACAGCCAACTCGACTTGCAGGCGCGGCCGGCGAGACTTGCGAATCTGTGCGGAGAGAAGGCCTCCCAGGAAGGTCTGTTCCACAGCAAGGCATAGCGCTTGGAGCTGCTCTGACGTGACGTCGCAAGGTTGGAAGTCCATCGGCCAACTGCCGCCCGCTTGAGTCTGCGCTGTGGCCAAAACACCCGCCCATGCCCGCTCGCGGGACGCTGCGTCGATAGTCCAACCGCGAGATTTGTAGATGCGCCGCAAGAGGCTCCTAACTAGCAGCATTTCGCCATCCGGAATAAGGCGGACATACTCGCGTTCACGCATTCCCTGTACATTGAAGCCTAACCTTTATGAACAACCATTAGGAGTTTTTAATAACCCCCTGCAAACCCAAACTCACCCGTTCATAACGACCAGGGCGGCCAGCATTATTCTCCTGTCGCCGCTCATGCCCTTGCTCAAGGATCCATAATACCAAGCCAGAAGCTGCTGCAAGGGTGCATGCTACCACGAGTTGCAGCTGACCTGCCATAAAAGATCCCAAACCTCCTTCGTCGAAGCGCCGGCGTTCAGTAAGCCATTAGGAGGGCATGTAGTTAAGGAATTAAAAAACGAATGCGCATACGTCTACCGCAAGCAGTTGAAAAAGCCCTCGGTGAACAAGACATGACTAACTTCTCGTACGAGGCCATACTTCGCCGTATCCTTCGCCCTACACGTTACTTACACGTTACTGCACACATTTCTCTATCCATATTGTTTTCTTTATGAGCAGTAGTATTTCTATGTTACACCTAGCGCCCATTCACGTGGCAAAACAAGTGAAAGGTAGGTTTGCTGGGGCTGCAAAACAGATCGTCACCAGGGGTTCGCACGTGGTCCCCCACCGTACTACTGATCTGGCCCAATGGTGCTTACGTGCCCAGTGCTGATGGGATGGGCGGTTTTCACCATGGTATGAACGATCCATGTCAAGGAGGTCAAGCTAACTTCACATGTTCGTGTACCTAAGGGTCTTATGCGTGCAGCTGTGTGAACATGCACCTTCCACGTGTAGACGTTAGGCACAGCGTACGTACACAGCGTACGGAACCTCATAAGCGGCCGGCTCCGCCGTCCACCACGCCCGTGCGTGTCGAACGGTGCACTTTTCAAGCGCCGCTCTACTGTCACTACCGCACAGGTGATCCGGTACGGATAGCTCCAACGTGTGGCCAAGCCTCAGCCGATGCCTTATAGAAGCAGACGAGCGCCTGCCGATGGTTGTAGGGCTTGCAGTGGTGATAGGGTGGGAGATGGACGAGTGGGGCCCGCTCCCTTGGGGCGAGCAGCCTGGAGCTGCTACTGCGGCTGCAGCAGCAGCAGCCGTACCCCTGGGACGGGAGCGCCGTCATCGGGGCTGCTGCTGGCGGCTTAAGGGTGCCCCCCTCCGAGTCGTGCTGACCTTTGCCGGGCCCTGCCTCCCTGTAGTTCTGCTGTACGCTGAACCGGTGGCAGTGCAACTGCGCGTTGGGGTGTTGGTGTGATGCTGCGTCCAGCCAGGCTCCCCACGGCATGTAGGCATCACCTTGTCAAACCCTGCCTGCTCACCATGGGGGCAGCAAGGCAAAGGAGTCTAGGAGGTCCAGCGCAGTTGTCCTACCAGTGGAACCAGACTCGCAGCTGTCCGACAACCGCCGGGAACCTGGATAGGCCAGGTATTTTAGCCAAGATGGACGTATGGGAGCACGGCAGGTCCCTCGGCATCCGCTGTGCTTGCCTGCCATGCTTGTCTGTCCACACCCGCTTGTAGGCTACCACAGCTTGCCCGTGTGGTGTTGGCGTAGGACCCAAACTCCTCCGTTAGCTTCTCCAGATCCCCTGATAGTTTAGGGCCTGAGCCGGAGGACACGAAAATAGCGTTGGCGCGGGGTGTGCTCTTCCTATAGCGTCATATCAATATGTTCGGATGCTATCAGGCGAGCACTTCCTGCGCAAATGTTTCCCCGACATCCGCTAACCGTCTAGGCCAACGATACGTGCCATGTCCCCCAGCTCAGACCCTAAGCTAGGTGCCCATGATCCCATATAGGATCATGAGTTTCGGACCGTATCTCTACCCGTTTGCTAGGAAAGCTGGCCAAGTTTGCAAAGGCAGGGGCGGCGTAAAGCATGGACCGCATACAAAGATTGTGTATGAAGAGGAGAAAGCAAGGGGACCTTCTCGAAGAAGTGTAAAAAAACATGCTTTAGTTCAAGGGTGCGAACATGGGGCCCCGTATGGGTACATGCGTCCGTCTTGGGTCTCCGTATGATGCATGCTGCTTGAACTTCACCACACAGAAGACTAGCGTACATCCACATATACGTCTGTATGCAATAGGTCTTTCTATACATAATAGTAAAACGGAACTTGACCTGGCTTACCGTCAACATCGTTCCTGGGACCTTGCCGGAGGCTGCAGGTGCGCTTCTCCTACCTGGACTTTGTTATAGACCTTCGGGTTATAGCTTACTGGCCCTGGTTGAGGCGCTGGTTGTCCTCATATGCGCTGGCAGCGATCTTAGCTGCAAAGGGACCCACAGGCTCGCGAGCTGGGGCTCGCGCTCTATTACCTCTAGCCATGATATGCGTGAATAGTTTCTTGCATCACGCAACCGGCCTTCTGGTCTATGCTTTTGTGTTGCCGCCGTGGAGCTCGCAACCTTTGCGGCGCGGCCCGTTCACCCTGGGCTTCTCTGGTTTCATGGGTGGCCTTGCTCTATCGTTATCTGTATAAGATATACCAACTCATGCAATTTCCTTTCTTGCTATACTGTCGCCCCTTTCGTTTTGCTCGATGCTTTGCAGCGCACTTTGCTGAGAAGCAGCGAGGAGCAAGAGCAGAGGAGCTCTACCGCAAATTTTGGAGCTTTATGCCGCTGGACGCAGGCGCTTGAGTTGCCTTACTGGTTGACGGGGCTTCAATGAGCCCTTGCGTAAACCGAAAAGCGGGCGCTGGCAGGGCCGTCTTCACGGTCCCACCGGCGCCTCCATTACCTGCGCAATGTTCATTTCAACAGCCAGTTACCACTGGAGCTAGCGATCCTAATAGTGTTGCAAGCCAACAGGCGCCGGCGCCAGCTGCACTAGCAGTGCCCGCGGTACACCCGTCAGGCAACGTAGGTGGCCCGCATGGGCCTAACCTAGGAGTACATCCGCACCGGCAAGCAGCTTCTGCGGACTCAACACACGGAGATGGAGGGCATGCAGGGGGGAGTAGCAGCTCGACGCCACGTGGTGGGAGCAATTCCCGTGCTGGGCACACAGGAAGCACGTCTCATGCCGCGTATGCGCAACAGACGACTACACAGCATGCATCTGCCGGTTCTGCTGGGCACCGGATAGCATCATGTCCTCAGCACTTGGAGATAGTTTCGGTCGTGCCGCATGCACCCAAGTGCCTGGACCCGGGGCTCCATAGCTTCTGGTCCAGTCTCAGTTTACAGCAGCGGCGGCAACTGCTGCGGTTACCCAAAAAGGAGTTGTTTGCACGAGTGAGATCGCTCTATTGCTCCGGGTGCTTCTCTCTCGTCCAGCTGCAGTACGACGAACTCTGCGCCTACGTCGCAAGCCAGCTAGCAGCTGCACGCAACGGAGCCAGCGGGCCGCCGCAGTGCGCTATCTGTGCAGCCGGGCACGCCTGCTTTGCCGGGCTTTCCGTACTAGAGGACGGCGCCGTCACGCTGACGGACGAGCTGCTAGGCGCGCACCCCTTCGGGCTCTTTGAGCAGGCGCGCATGTGGGAACTGGACCGGGAGCAGCATTTTGTTTCCGGCGAGGTGTGCGGCAGCGGCTGGTGCAAGCGGCCGGGTGTCAACAAGTGCAAGTTGCATACGGGGCCGGTGGCGCCGGATGATCTGCTGGCGTACTGGAGCACCTTGCCCGGGCCGCGGCGCGAGGCGCTCATGACGTTGGATGAGGACACCTTCTTGGGGGAGCTGGACGTTAGCATGAAGCTGCAGCTGCGGATTTGCAAGGAGTGCCGCAGCAACGTCACGCGCGCATTCAAAGAGCTCAAGCCAGGGCGGGACGCATCAGGGCAGCCCTCGGCGGTTTCGGGGCTGGTGCTCTGTGAGGGGCACGAGCTGCGGGCTGGCGAGGGGCGTGTACGGGTTGAGGGACCAGGCGAGGCGTGTCTGTTCGAGAAGGCGGAGGAGGTTCAGGAGCAGAAGGTAGGGCGGAGATCTGTAGCGTACTAAGAACGCATGATGGCTTACCTTTGGTCTAGAGGGCTTTGAGAAGGCGTGCCTGGTCCATGCCGTTCGGGTGCTGTTGCTGCTATGGCTTTCGTGGACGCCGGTTGCTAGAGCATTAGCCTTCCTGGCCGTGTTGACTGAACGGTTTGGGCGACCTGCTGTGTGCTATGCAGGCTTTCGATGCTGCTGCTGGCGACCAGGACAGCCCCGAAACCATTCGCCACGCGGAAACACCGGAGTTGGCGCGGGAGGCGCTCCAAGACTCGGCGCTCCTCATCTTCAAGGCGCAGGTACCCTGCTGTTGCTCTGTGTTGATGGGGGCTCTCATGCCCTGTGTGTTTTGGCAACATTCCATGACGACTTCAACCGTTATCTGCTGGCAACGGCCGTTGCTATTCTCCTCATGCTCATTATTCCTGACCATACATGGCGTCTCCGGCATCTAAGCCGCTGCTCCCCTGCCCCGCTACCATCCGTTTCCGTTTCACGGCCTGCAGGTTGAGGTAGCCTTCCGTGACCAGACTGCGTGCCGCAACGCGCTTCTGCTGTTCACGGTGCTTTGCCACTTTCTGCTGGAGCAGCAGCTGCTAAACGCATACAAGGAGCTGGGGGCCAAGCGGGCGGAGGTAGGCCTACCTGGGGAAACCTTTTGTACCTCAGAGAAAACACGTGTGTTGGCAGGGCTAACGTTACACATGTTTGAAAGCGAGCGGTTGGCGTTGTATAACGTGAAGGGTTTATAGTTTCTAACTGACGCTGTGGCGCCCCGTTGTCCATGTAGGCGGAGCTGCTGCGGCTGCTGGAGGAGGACGAGGCCAAGGAGGCCGCCAAGCGCGAGAAGAAGGCCAGCAAAGCAGCCAAGGCGAAGAAGCAGCAGCAGGCGCCCACAGCCGCATCCTCCGAGGCGGCGCCCGAGCAGCCGCCCACCTCCGCATCGGAGTCCGAGGAGCCGGAGCCGGAGGCCAAGTCGCAGGGCCCGGTAGCGGCTACCGGGGCGGCCAAGGAGACGACGACGCCAGCGCCGGCAAGCGCCAACAGCAATGCGCGAGCTCCGGCGCCGCAGGACAAGGGCCAGGGCCGGGAGATTGCCTCCTCGGCTGTAGCGTCTACCGCGTCGAGCAGCAGTGCCGGCAGTAGCAGCAAGCAGGCGTCTTCAGGCAAGCAGCAGCAACAGCAGCAGCCTGCGGGGAGGCAGTCACGGGCGGCAAGCCTGGATGACAGCTTGTCGGAAGCGCTGGTGTCTGGTAGCAGCGCGGCGGCGGGGCGGAGCAGCGGTAAGGCGCAGCAACCCCATGCACAGCAGAATGGCGGTCCCGCGCCTGCCGCCGCTAAGCCGGGTTCCCGCACGCCAGCAGCAGCCACCACGGCCCCAAAGACCAAGGAACAAGACTCGGCCGCAAGCGGGAAGGACAAGGTGCATAAGGGGAAGGACCCCGCCCCCTCGGCTGCCGCTACCGGGCACGCGGCACCACCGGCGGCGCCGGCCAAGGGCAACAAGGGCGCAGCCTCCGCACCGGCAGCGGGGCAGTCCAGGGGTGGAAAGGCGGCCTCTGAAGCCAACTCAACAGCATCGTCGAGGGGTCCTTCAGTGTCCGCGCAACCGCCCGCACGCGTGGTTCCCCAGGGGCAGCCGGCTCGTCAGCCCGCGGCGCCAGCAGCCCGCCAGCCGCAGCACGTGCCTCCGCCGCCTCCACCGCCGCCGCCGCCACCACCCCCGCCGCCCAGGCCTCAGCCTCCATCGACGCAGCCGACCGCTGCTGCTGTTGCAGCGGGAGCGCTGTCCTCTCAGCCGCCAGCCCCTCAGCTAAACCACAGCAACTTCCCACCGCTGCGGCCTACCGCAAGCACGGGAACCTCGCAACCCGCAGCTGCTACCGGTGCTTCTGCACAGCAGACGGCGCATGGTCCGGCTCCACCGTTGGCTGCCACATCGGCTGCTTCGGCGCCAGCGCAAGCCCCGCCACCGCCGCCGCCGTCAGTGGCACCTTCTGCGCCCCAGGCGGCTTCGGCGCCGGCCACCTCAGCAATGCAGTCCCAGGGAGCAGCAGCACCGCCGCCGCCGCATGCGGTGAGCGCCGCTCCAGCCGTCCCAAGCCTGCAACATCTGAGCCACCAGCAGCTGCCGCCACAGCACCAGCACCAGCAGCCACCTTCTGCTTTACATCCTGCTGCTGAGGTGCCGCCGCCGCTTGGGGATCAGGGCTTGACGCAGTCCTTCGTCCAGCCGCCCTCCCAGCGATCCATGCCGCAGCAGCAGCATCTGCAGGGACCTGGCCCCATGCAGCAGTCTGGGCCGCTCTTGCCCGGCTTCCAGCCCTCCCACCAGCAGCCCCCTGCCGCGCTGAACCCGGCCCAGATGGGCTCTATGTCGGGCTCAGGGACCTCTGCCGCGCAGCCCGCGCCGCAGCACCAGGCGCCCCAGCAATTCGACCTTGGGCTTTCACAGCTGCGACGGCCCTCGCCTGACCACCTCGCTCGGCTGCAGCAGCAACAACATCAGCAGCAGTCAGCGGTAGGGCAGAGCGCTGCGTCCGGTCTGGGCCTTGTTGGCGCTGGCACGGCAGGCGGCGTAGCCCCCAATGGCTTGCTTGGACTGGGACCGTTCCTGGAGGCAGGGGGTCCGTCCAACGGAGGTGCGCAGCTGAGCACTGCGGCCAGCCTGCAGTCACAGGGCTCGGGGCTCCTGAACCTTGGACCAGTGTCACTGGGGCCCGCTGGCAGCATCGGTGGCAGCATGCCTGGGTCGCAAGCCACTGCAGGCTTCGGCTGGCAGCTTCCGCTGTCGCCGCAGCAGCAGCCGGTGGCGCAGCAGGCGACAACACAGCAGCAGGCACAGCTGCAGCAGCAGCTGCACTCCTCTGCCTCCAGCCCCGTGCCTCAGGGTCCCGCTCCCCCGCAACCACCCCAGCAGCAGCTTGCTTCCCTCACCTTGCAGCAACAGCAGCAGGCAGCAGCGGCCGCTGCCGCCGTTGCGGCGGCCGCCATGGGGCAGTCCGCGCCCCAAGGCCAGCAATCGGCGCTGCTGCAGCAAGCACCCAGGCCGCTGTACCCTGCTGCCCACCTGCAGGGACACGCGCGCCCGCAACAGCAGCAGCAGCAGCTCCCTCTTGGTGGAGGCCCGGCCGGCTCCGGTCCCAGCATCGCCGCGCAGAACGCTGCACAGCTGCTGGCGGCTCACGCGCAGCTGCAGGCGCAAGTCCAGGCGCAGAACGGCCCCCACCAGCAGTTCCAGCAGCAACAGCAGTTGCCGCTTGCTGTGCTGGCAGCAGCGGCAGCTGCCGCGGCAGAGGATGCTGCCGGCAATGGTCAGACGGGCACGGGTAGCGGCGGGGGCTTTTCGTTATTCAGCCACTTCCCCTCGTCCGCTGGTGCGCGAGACATGGAGTTACGGCAGCAGCTGGAGTTGCAGCAGCGCACGCAGCAGCAGCTGAAGGCCCAGCAAGCAGCTGAGGAGCGGCAGCAGCAACAGCAGCAGCAGCAGGCCCTGCAGGCGACGTTGCAGCAGCAGATGCAGCAGCAGGTGCTGCATGCGCAAGTCCAGGCGCAGCTTCAGCAGCAGCAGCATGCAGCGCTACACGTGCAGCAGAGCCAGGGCCTCACAGCGCAGCAAGCCCAGCAGCTAACCAACTACCTCCTGCAGCAACAGGCGCAACAGCAGCAGGCACAGCAGCAGCAAGCACAGCAGCGTCAGGCAGCCCAGCATGCGCAGCATATGCTTGCAAGGCAGCAAGCGCAGCAGCAGCAAGCCCTTGTCGCGCAACAGCAGCAGCAGGCACAGGCGCAAGCTGTGGCACATGCACAAGCCGCTGCCCAGGCTAAGCAGCAAGCGCAGCAAGATGCTCTCAACGCGCCGTGGTCTGTCCTCGGTCGCACCCTGCAGCAGCAGCAGCAACAGGTCCCACAAGCCCCAACCGCTAACGGTAACCCTGCAGGCGTCAGCATTGGCGGAAGTTCCTCGAGCTCACAGCTGCTGTTTAGCGGTCTTTCCGGAGCAGGCGGCATGCTGGGTGGCGCCGGGGCGGGTGCTGGAATGGGGGCTGGCCTCGGCGGTATGGCTGCCGGTCTCGGAGCCGCGTCAGGCCCGGGCGCGGGCATTGGCTTGGGTGGTGCGGATCACGGCGGTGTCGCAGGCTTGGGGGCCGGCATGGGCTCATGGATGCGGGGAGCGCAGGCAGAGGCCGGCGGCCTGGGTGTAGGCGCGGGTGCAGCGGGCCCGGCACAGCACTTGGGGGCCGCACATGCACATGCGCACCACCACCAGCACCACCTGCGACAGAGCATCAGCCTGAACAACTTGGCCCTGGGAAGCAGTGGCGGCGCCGCGGGTGTGGGTGTGGGTGGTGGCAGCGGGCTGGGCAGCGCTGCCAACCTGGCTGCGGCAGCACTTGACAGCGGCTTCTTCGGACACGGGCAGCACCACCAGCTGGGTCTCAAGGCGGCCGCAGGAGGCGCGGCAGCGGGCTTGGGTGCTGGCAGCATGCACGGCATGTTTGGGAGCCAGGGAAGCCTGCTGGGCGGTGGCAATGGGCCCTCCGCAGCAGCTGCGAGCTCTCGCTCGGGTGCCGGTACGGGCCAAGCTAGCTTGTCCGGGCTCGGAGGTGCAGGTCTGGGTGCCGGCGGCAATGGAGGGAGTGGCCTGGGAGGTGCGGGACTGGGTGGTCTAGGGCTGGGTGGCCTGGGTGGCGGGTTGGGGAGCCTGACAAGCGCGGGCTCCGGCGCGCTTCGCGACAACAGCGGAAGCCTGCCCGGCGCGGGACTGGGTAGCAGCTCGGGTGGAGCTGGCACGTACAGCTTGTTTGGTGCATCGCCTTCGCCGTCCATTGCCCAGTCGCTTGTGGGCATGACGTCGCTGCTAGGATGAGATGCAGTGCTGAGGAGCGGGTTCAGAGGCATTAAGGAGGGGGTTTAGGAGTTGGTATGGATGGCGACGTAAGGAGCGAAAGGGCTATATCAATGTTGGTGCTGGCTGCTTTTTGGTGAGCGTGCTTCTACAATCTATGCTTAGTCAGCGGTGTTGCACTTTGGCTAGGTCCCCCGCCAGACCATGAGTCAGCAATGCCGAATAGCTTTTCAGATGTGCACATAGGCTGCTACACATTGGCGGGCTGAAGGGGCCCAGGGAAAGCACAGACGCCGTAGGAGGAGGAACTCGTGCGTGAACCGCGAACTGCGTCCTTTGCCCAACCTTTCTTTCCTTGTGGGGTTGGGTACATGCGCGCAGGGTGCTTTGCGGCACTACGTGGCAGGGCCCTCCTTGCCAGTGCATCCGGGTGTGGGTGTCTTCGACATCCCCGTACAGCCTTTTACAGGCGGTTAGCTGAGGTGTGCAAACGCGTGTTCCTGCTGACGCGTTGCCTTGTGGAGAGGGACTGAAGCAGGAGGGTTGTAACAGGGCGCGTCTGTCTGCTATTGTTGTTGGTTTGTTTCTGCGCGCTAAGAACCTATAGCTACCGACCGACATACTAGCGGCCGTCTTGCAGTGGGGCTCCAGGGCAATGTACTGCCCTGCGTTACACTTTCTCGTGCGGCACATACAAATTTGAATGTGTACCATACAAGGTCCCTTTTACCACCCTTGCTTAGCGGTGGTGACGATGCTGCGCTGATGCAGCCACTCGTGGTGTGCGCCGTTGTGTGCTTTGCATGGCTGTGTCGTGCGGCTTGAATTCCATGCGGATGCGAGACAGTGGGCTTCTTTCATGTGGGTCGGTTTGGGGTGAATGGGGCAGGTCAGGGCCGTCTGTTTGTGTACCTCAATGCACTGCCCAGGCAGAGTCGGAGTTGGCTCCCAACAAGGTGCCTTTTTTCCTTAAACTAGTGCAAGCAAGCAATGTCTTAGGCTTGACCTTAATACCGGTACACGAGATGTGGATGGCCGCTGTCGCGGCCGTCTGTAGTCATCTATAGGCCACCCATCTTGTGCTGTCCTAGCATGGTTGCAATGTTTAGAATCCCTTTGGTGGTTGCTCAACGGTCAGAGTCTTCGGCTGATACGAGGAAGGACTGGATCACGAAGTGGTGGCTTTGGTGTTTGTTGCAAAGCGCAGTGGTACACTTGATGATAGGGGCATTTCCTAGGTGCCTGGTTAGGCAACCTTTTTGGCGTGCAGCATTTGCGTGGACAAAAGAAGGGTTTTACCCGCAACATAGCCCATGGGAACGCCATGGGTTTGGCACCTGATGCCAACGTCTAGAGCCGTAGTAAGAGAACGTTTTACGCGTTACACCTCCCATGCGTTTCATGAGCATCGCAGCGGACTCATTTAAAGCGCCTTTCAATGCGGTGCTGAGTAGTGGTAAGGCTCTTTCCCTCGAACAACCATCACACAAATTACGTCCGGCAGCAAACCAAGCCGCCAACATGACATCAACTCGACGGCAACTTGACGAGTCAACTTCCGCAACGCAATATCACAATTGACGCTCCAATCTGTGCCAACTACCTATGTTTCTGGCATGTATGCATCATCCCTGCATTCCAAAACCAACCCGCGGTTTGCGCCCATCCGTAGCCGTACGACACTCCAGCAACCAAACATCAATTACACACGTACAACACCCTGCGTTTCCTCTTCTGTGCAACAGACAACTGATGACGTAATCACCCAAGCTCAGAACTCCATGCCACACTGCCGCTGACCCGGGTTCCCCAAGAAAACATCCTCTACCGGAGATCCCAGGACCACCCATGTCGTTCCTCCTCCTTGAATGCGTCCCTCCTCACGCCTCCACCGCTGTCGGGGCATTGCACTTGAAGATCGCCTTGGGGAGCAGCTTGGCCTCGTCCTGCGTGCATGCGTAGGGAAGTTCTGGACATCAGGCAAGTACCGGATAAGCCTGCTAAAGTCTGTTCGCGTGACGTCCTTTTCAGCTACGGTAATAACAATACTCCTCTTTGCTCATCACGGCCTGGCGCTGCATCTAGAGCCGTCACTCATTCCCCCCTGCAACGCAAGTACCGGTACATCGCCTAATACACGAAAACTCTACCGTACCCTCATTCGCCTCTCGCCCATTCCGAAACACGCCGCTACGACGCCAGCCATCACACGCACCCCAGCCCCCGCTCCCCTCACCGGCGTGTAGCAGCCGCCTCCCACCGCAGCGCTGGTGCACCACACGCAGCCCGGCGCCACGCAGGCGGCCTGGGGCTTGCCGTCGCACGCACTCTGCCGCACCAGCCCTTGCAGGCCCCCCGCCCGCCCGCTAGAGGAGGTGGTCGCGGCGGTGGTGGTTGCAGCCGGGGCGGAGGTGGTGGTGGAGGCAGCCGGCGGGTTGAGATCCTTGTCGCACTCGATGCCAAAGCCTGTGAGGAAAAGGCACGGGGATGGGGGCGTGGGCGGATCGGGGATGGGAGGTTTGGGAAAGTCTTGGCACCTTGGTTAGTTGGGAAGGTGCAGCGTCGCATGTGTGCAACCAGGCGCATCCTGTACATAGGATAATGCTCTGCACCCAACTACGTGAAGACCTATATCGAGCGGATGTACGGCCTGCGCTCCCAAATAAGAGCTGCGGCCAGGTCTGCTTCACGGGTGTCTGTGTAGGAGTATCCAACATCACTCTGCTGGGCCCCCCTCCTTCCTCTTGTGGAGACCCACTTTTAGGAAGCAGCCTGGCAGCGGCAACGGGGTAGCAGCCGGCGCCGATCTTGGAGTTGGGCTTGGAGCACCAGACGCCTGGGAGCAGGGGTGGGGCATAGACGGATGAGGCAATGGCCGGCAGTTAGGAAGCATCCTTGTTGATGTCCGTGTGTACGTACAGGAGAGCTGCGGAATCCTTTGTCCGTCCTGAACTTTGTGAGTCCTGTATAACCAGCGTCGTTCCTAGACCGAAGAACACGGTTTCCCGTGACAGGAGTGCCCTCTCGCACAGGGTACACGCAGAACATGGCTAGGGCGAACTATGCCCGTCAGGTTAACCTCTTAGATCTTACAGAATATGAGCTACAGCATATTTCTGCAGATTACGACCAGCTCACATTCGTCCAGCAGGTCGCAGTCGATAGGCGTCTTCTGCTTAACGCAAGTAAGCGGACTTCCAATTTGCCATAGCTTGGGGTCCTGCTGTGATTCCGAAGCCAAACAGCTAGGAAGCAACAGCAGACCGCAAGCTGCGGCGGCCAGCAGCGCTGTGTACACACTGACACGCATGGAGCTGTAGGTATGTAAACCCTTTTCCTCCTCCTAAAGATACGTTTGAGCAAGCTTTGCACCTTTTTCTGTCAGCACTAATGGATTCAACAATTTTGTGTTGGCACTAGTACCCTCTTAAGGATCCGCTGCTGATGTGCTTAACTTGTACCGCGACTTTCCGACGCACATTCGGCTTGCGCGTTGACGCGTTCTGTAACATCATAGCAATTCCTAAACGATGGCGTGACATATTACGAGGCCTGGATAACTACCAGGCTACTTCGATGCCCTTCCACGCCAGCATCCATGTGGACGACCATGTCATGTTTCAAGGAAACTGCGTGCGGCTGCTGCGCCATCCTGTAAAACTACTGATAGTTATAACCATGCTAGCAACGTGATCCCGGTATCATGGAAAGCCTGGTGTAATCTACGCAACTACCTCAGCCATGCTAATTGCAACATCCTCTTTCCTCCGCAACCGCCCTGGGTGACCATGGGGTGCGCCCCCGGAGGAGGGAAGAGGAACCATGTCAGCTGATGTCAGTGCCGTACGGTGTACACGGTACCGTAACTGCGCGGCGACGCTTCCCAATCGTTTGGTCGATCGATTGGACAGGTGCAGGAGGCCGGAGAAAGGAAGCCGGGGCCTATAGCTCGGGCGCTGGACGTTTGGGTTCATTTCTGCCGTACGTAACCAGGTAATACTTGGGGCAGGTGCATACAAGGGTTTATTAGGAAACGGGTGTCATATGCACAGGGGTTCAGGGTTTAGGGCACGTACGGCAGCTTCGCGTGCGCATAGGCTGTGCGGTGGCTTGCAGTGTGTTGCGGAAGGTTGTTGGATGTGTAAACTGTTCTACGAGGGAAGTGTTACAAGGGTGTATCGCAGCAAAGCCTTTTGGCCGGCCGTAAGACGCTCCCACCTCCCACCGAGCGCGTCTGTCATACAGGGATTACCGGCCCCATCGGGTTTCACAGAATTGGCAAATTGCCGTTTAAAGGGAAAGGACTTGCACGCACAGGCACGACACCAAATCCTCCTAGGATGGACCCAACTCCTGCTGCAACATTTGGACACGATGCCTACCTATCTCAAACGCCTACCCGCACGCCCGTACAATCCACGCCGCAAACACACGCCTGCCGCCACAAAATGACGCCCATGCGATGCCTTTCCTGCCACCTGCCTCCTCCTTTTGCCGGGCTCTATTTCACCACCCGGGGGCTCACCCGGCCTAACAGCATACCGGGACACGCACGCAGGTGTGCCCCCTCCCGCTTTGTTCACAATTCAAAAGATGGTTGATTCGCTGCCAACCGATAGGTGTGTGGAGCTTGGCTGAAGCTTCAGCACACAGGGAGGAAGGCCCGACCCATGGGTAAAGCCTCCCAAAACGCAGCCTGCTTTTAGACATACCGCCTGCATAGCTGTGCTCCCTTCGTCGGGCATGCGCTAATAATCCTGCCTGCTCAATCCCCTGTCCCAATGGGCTCTAACCCCTAAGGATGCGCCACAGAACCCAACAACGCAGCAACCTTCACTCCACCACGACCCTCTCCTCCCTTGCCTCACCCCCTTCCTGCCCCTGCCCTTGCCCCTGCTGCTGCGGAGGCGGCGGCGGCGCCAGCAACGAAGACAGGATCTCCGCCATGTGCCGTGCCTCAGCCGAGGACGCCCCCGCGCCCCTGCCTCGGCCCCTGCCCCGGCCGCCTCCCCCTCCTGCCCCTGCCGCCTCCGCCGCCCCCGCCCCCACCGTCACGTCGCCCAGCACGGCTGCATCCAGTGCCAGCTTGCGCTCCGCTATGGCCTGGATGTTGCTGTCCACGGTGCCGCGCGTGATGAGGCGGTACACCACCACCGGGCGGGTCTGACCCAGCCTGCGAGGGGGGAGAGGCAAGGGGGAGGGGGTAAGACGAGGGGGGATAAGGAAGGAAGGGGGTAGGACGTAGGCGAGGAGACAAAGCGGGGGAAGGAAGTGGGAAGGACGGGAGGAGAGATGCGTAACCAGACACTTCCCCCCTTCCCTCCCTCCCTCCCTTCCCCCACCTGTGCGCCCTGTCCTCCGCCTGCTTGTCGATCTGCGGGTTGAAGTCCACGTCGTGCAGGATGACGGTGTCTGCCCCAGTCAGGTTGAGGCCCTGACCGCCCGCGCGGGTGGAGAGCAGGAACACAAAGTAGGGCGAGTCGGGGGCGTTGAAGGCGTCGACCAGCGCCAGCCGCTCGTCCACCTGGAGGGATAAGGTGTATGTGGAGGGTTGGGGGGGGGGAAATTATATAAGTGAAGATGCCACTTCTGTAAGGAAGTATGACTGAAGAAGTAGGTTTCTTGCTAGCTGCCGTGGTGCGTGGAAGCAGATGGCGCGCTTGCATGGGTGTACGACAGCGATGGCAAATCGACCCAGCCTATCAGGGCTGTCCACGCGTTTGTGCTTTTAACTGCCGTTGTGATTGATAGTATCGGGTGGCCATCCCTCTGCCGGGATTGTGGCCGCCTAGGTCCCACCAACCCGCCCGAGGTCGCGCCTAGCGAGTGGGGGTTTGCTTGCGTTTCGTCTTTAGTAGGACAACCAGTTTGGGGAGCTTCTTGGACGCCGGTCTCTCAATTAAGGGGGTCAATCGGCAATCGAGGTGCAACACTGGGTGCTGTCAGCACAATCGGCCACTAGTGCATCTTAAACATGGGTTGGGGCGTCGGGATGTGTGGGTTAGGGTAGGGTTCTTGGCGTGGAGGCGACGTACGGCTGGTTGGCTTCGGCTTACATTATCTGCTGTAACGCATCACGGCAGCTAAAGCAAGAAACAACGAATCCCAATCGACCCAATGCGTTGAATGAGCCCATGGTTTGGACCTAGTACTCCTTTGCTCCCTCTTTCCTTTCCTTTCCTCCCTCCCTCCCCCCTACCTGCGTGCTCCCATCCAGCCTGCAGTACGCGTGTCCCCGGTAGCTGAGGTACCACTCCAGCAGGTCCAACACAGTCGTCCACTGACTGGAGGGGGGGGGGGAGGGGTAGGGAAGGGGGGAAGGAACACACAGGGGAAAGCACGCGGGAGGGTACCGGTGAGTGTGTGATTAAGTGATATCAAGACCACCAGAGGGCGCCTTGACTCGCCACACAGCGCGATACCCCCCTCTCCATACTCCTTCCTTCCTGCTGCGGGTTCCTCCTCCCTCCCTTCCACTTCGTGCACTTTCAGGTTCCTTCTCTTTATCCCACCCACCTCCCCCCCCTCACCTGAACAGCAGCACCCTGCTCCCGCGCTCCTTGAGTTGCGGCAGCAGCTCGTCCAGGTGCCGTACCTTGGCGGAGGAGAGGATGACGTCAGAGGGCAAGATGTACGACTCAAGCAGCTTGGGGTGGGCCACTGCGGGGGGGGGAAGGGGGACCGGGGTACGACATGAGGGAGGGAGTTAAGGTGTGCACGGCAAGGTGGGAGAGGAGATATATGTGGGGCGCAGATGACGCTCCTTTCGCAACGCAGCCCTAGGGGGGGTATGGTTGGGGCATCCATGACGACTGCACCGTACATCATGTACCGTACCCCCCCACCCCCACCCCCCCACCCCCGCCTCACATGCAAAGAGGTGCAGCTGGTGGTCGCTGTACGTGGAGAGCTCCTGCAGGCAGCGCTCCACGGTGGGGGTGCCGCCAAAGAGACCCCGCTTGGCAGCCAGCTTGGCCAGCTCAGTGATCTGAAGCCGGACAGGGGTGGTGGTGGTGCCGTACAAGAGTGAGTGCCGTACAGAGTGGGTGCCGGAGGGGGTAAGTAAGGAGTAAGGGGGTGATAACTACGACGATACAGATGCCGACGGGGGTGGTCAAACACCACTCCCCATGTGGCAAGGCTGCCTCGCTGTACCGGTAAATCCCCTTCCCTCCCTTCCCCCTCCTTCCCCGCCCCCACCTGTTCCTCGCTGTACCTCGCCCGCACCAGCAGCGGGTGTTGCGCCACCTTGCGCAGCTGAGTGAAGATGTGCTGCACACGCGAGGAGCTCAGACGGGACATATCCAGCGGACCCGCTGCCGCCGGCGCAGCAGCAGCACCACCACTCCCCGCGCCCTCGCTCCCCGCAGCGGCAGCCGCGGCCTCAGCGGTGGCCTTGGCGGCGGTCCCGCGCCGCGGCCTGCCCCTGCCCCGCCCCCTGCCTCCCCCCCCTGCCGCCCCCCCTGCAGCTGCCTGCGAGGAGACCTCCTTGCTGACCTCATCACGCATGGAGGCGATGGTGGACTCGTAGAGCTGCCGCTGTTCGGGGACCATGTCCTGGAGGTGGAGGGGAGAAAAAATTATATAAGAATTGCAAACAACTGGGGAGGAGGAGGATGGGGTGAGGAGGGAGAAAGGTGGGGCAGAAAAGTAGTAGCGATGCACTGGGAAGAGGTTTGGGAGGGGTTACGAGGGGACGATGAATACCCCGCACAGGGCTGGCTCTTCACCCACCCCAGCCCCCTAACCCTGCCTCCCCCCCCCCTCACCAGCTGCACGATGTGTTGCTTCTTGGCCACCAGCTGGTCCGCAACCTCGCTCTTAAGACGCCTGGGGGGTGGAGGGACGGGGAAGTGAACAGCTGCAGCAGCACTCTTCCGTAGCAACCCCCTCACACTTACTAATGTCTTTCTTTCCACCGTTCCCCCCAACCTACCTCAATATGAAGGGCTGCAGCAGCTGCTTCATGCGATCCACCAGCCGCCCCTGAGCCTCACAGGCGGCCACACCCGCAGCACCCGGGGCGCCCGGCTTGGCGGCCTCTGCTACCTGTGATTGTGGGATTAGATAACTGAGCCGCGGAAACACTGACCCTAACCGTAGGTTACCGGAAATTGCTTGATTGCTTGATTGGGGGGGGGGGGGCAGGTGGGATAGTGAAGCGAGGGAGTTCCAACCCCAATCAGGGGGGCCGGCAGGTGCAAGTGCAGGGCGGGGGTGGTGGAGAGGAAAAGGAGAAGCACCCCCCGATGCGACCCATGCTGGTAGAGCCTTGTCACACCCACCTTCCCCCTCGCTTGCCATTATCGTCCCGCGCCCCCCCCCCACCTGCTCCGCCAGCGCATCCGCGCCCTCCCCCGCGGTGAAAATGGTGGGCAGCAGGAAGGCCAGCAGCGCATGCAGCTCCAGCAGGTCGTTCTGGAGGGGGGTGCCTGGGGGGTAAGGGGTAAGGGGGGGGGTTAGGGGGATGGAAGGTGCAGGGGGCCAGGCATCATGGGGAGGTGCCGCTAGTGGTTTAAGGCGCGAGCAGTGCGATGTGCGATGCGCGTGTATGTGTTGAGGAGAGCAACCGATACCCTACCTTCCCCTCCCCTCGACCACTACCCGCCCTCTCTCACATCCCCCCCCCATCCCCCCCCCCACCTGTCAGCATGATGCGAGTGGCCGCCATCTGCGCCACCTTGCGCAGCTTGCGGGAGCGGGTGGAGGAGCTGTTCTTGAGCGCGTGGGCCTCGTCCATAACCTTGGGGAGGGGGGGGAGGAGGGGAGGGGTCAGTAAAACATGGGTATTCCGCACAAGCTGGCATCAAGAATTGCGTGTACCGGTAGCCGTAACTGCTGGGTTAGTAGCTGCTCATTTATCTTGTGGCACCCTGCCGCTTCCTAGTATGATCTTTGACCCTCCCTTCCCCCTCCCCCTCCCCTCCCACCACATGCGACCAGGGCCACTTGGAGAGGAAGGCCCGGTCAATGCCGTAGTTGGCCCCCTCGCGCTCCCACAGCGTGTAGGTGGTCAGCAGCACGTCGAACAGCCCGCCGCAACCGCCGCCCTGCAGAAGGGAGTGGGAGAGGAGGGAGAGGAGGGAGAGGAAGGGGGAAAGAGAGGGGGAGACAGGGGGGGTAAGGAGTAAGGAAACTGACGAGCTGTATGACAAGGGGAGGACAGGGGAGTAATTCGATTCGGGTTATAGATCACATACATGTAAGCTTCAGGAGCGCCCCCACATCTTCCCTCCTACCTTGCCCACTTGGCGCGGGGCCGCCTCTCCCCGGCCGTAGTCCTCGTCTCCATCCTCCTCCTCGCCCTCCTCACCCTCACCGCTGCCGCCCGCACCCTCACCGCCCTGCTCGTCCTGGAGGGGAGGGGGAGGAGGGGCAGAGAGAAACAGGATCAATTTACAGGTGACGAAACATGATAGCACGTGACACGTAGCCCACGAGACACAACACTCTCGCTACAGGACCACGCCTGCGCACTGCGGCACCTCCCCAACCCCCATACCCACCCCGACACGTACCTCCTCCCCATATTGCCCCTCTCCCTCTCCGCCCTCCTCCTCCTCATCCGAGTCAGGTCCCGGGTCCCGGCCCGCGCAGATGCGCGCCCACTTCCGTTTGATGCGGTGCCTCAGCGCCTCCCGACTGGGCCCGTAGTAGGTGACGACTCTGGGGGCGGGAAGGGTGGTATGGGTGGAGAGTTTGGGGGGCGCAGACCGGTGAGAAGGGCGCAAAGGTGAGTGGGTATAACTTTTCAAAACCCCAAGCCCGAAACCCCACCCCCTTGGAGAACCCCCTCCCTCCCTTTACGGTTTCACATGGTTTGGTCTAATTTGATCCCCCTCCCGCTCCCCCCACCCACTTTAGGTTGGGTGCCCATGCCGCCAGCTCGCGCTGCCAGTTCTCCAGCAGCGAGGCGGGCACCACCACTAGGTGCGGGCCGGGGTCGCCCAGCAGCGGCCGCAGGCAGGCTGGGGGGGGAGGGGGGGGGTTGAAATGAGCGGGGGGGGGGGAAGAGAGTGAGGAGCATGGGGGAGGGGGTTTAGGAAGGAAAACCCCAAATGCTTGGGGGCGGAGAATAGAGCTGATATACTGGCCTCCAGACGTCGTACAGCACACGCGGGAAAAGCTTCTTCCTTCAACAGCGCATCCCATTTTCTCCCGCCAAACCGTCTTCCATCCCCTAAAACTAGTGCCAGCTTCTGCACCTCCCAAGCCCTAGCCACCCCCACTACCCACACATTGCCCCCATCCCTCCAACCACAACACTTACACAGGTACACACACGTCTGCGCCGTCTTGCCCAGCCCCATCTCGTCCGCCAGGATGGCGCCCCCCACTTGGCCCGCCGCCAGCTGCAGCAGGTAGTTGATCCCAACCAACTGGTACGGCTTCAACCGCCCCGCCACCTCAGCCGACCCAATGGCCTGCGCAATGTCGGCTGCGGTGACCAGCGGGCGGGAGGAGCCGGCCAGCAGCGGCTTTGAGGAGGGGGCGCCTGAGGGGGGAAAGAAGGGGGGGAGAGGAGAAGGGTGAAGTAGGGTGAAGTAGGGTGAAGAAGGATGAGGTGAAGAAGGATGAGGTATGAAGTGCCGTCAGCCCGTCACACAGTGCCTGCCGACCCACATGCAACCGGTACCTGCTCACCGCCCCTGTCCCTCATCACGCCCAACCGCCTCTGTCTATCTACCCCCACCGCGTCCAAGACCTCCTACTCCCCACCCACCCCCCGCCCCCAACCTCCCTACCTGCGCCCCCCTCCTGCTCTCCTCCTCCTCCTGCTCCCGCCTCTCCCCCTCCCCCGCCCTCCGACCGCCTCTCCAGCCTCTGCTGCTGCAGCGCCACGCCCCCCAGCGCCCCCCGCAGCGCACAGCTGATCCGCTCGACCTGCTGCAACACCTCCTCAGCCGCGTCCACAGCACCCCCCTCCGACCCGCTGCCATCGCCCTCCTCCTCCTCCTCCACGTCCTCGCTGTCCAACACCACCTGTCGACGCCTCTGCTGCTCCGGATTACCCCCGCCGGAGGAGTCCAGGGGGGGCAGGAAGCCGCCAGCTGCCGCGGCAGCGCTGCCGTTCGCAGCAGCAGAGGGCGGCGTGAGGTCCACCAGAACGGTGGGAGCGGCTCCGGGCCGCTCGCGACGACGGCGACCCAGCACCGGCCCCGGACTGTCATCCTCCAAGCCGGGAGATACCTGCCTTGGCTGCTGCTGCTGCTGGGGTTGCTGCTGCTGTTGGTGTTGCTGGTGAGACAGGAGGGAGCGCTTGGGCAAGGCGGGTGCGGTTAGCGGTTGGTAAGTCGCAAAGGGAAGCACATTAGCGGCGGCGGCTGCAGCAGCAGCAGCACCACCTGCAGCAGCAGCAGCACCGGCAGCGCTACCACCACCGCCGCCGCTGCGGTGGCCCATGGCCACAGCTATGGCGGCGATGGTGGAGGGGCCGTGGGCGGCCGTGGAGAGGGGGGTGGGGTGGTGGGTTCCCGCGCCGATGGAGCGGAAGGTTGTGGCGGGGGTGGCGGCGCCGGCATGTACGACAACGGAGGGGCGGCCGGGTTGGAGGCCCAGCAGACGGCCGGCGGGGCGACGGGGAGGGGCGGAGTCGCCGGCAGCGGCGGCTGCGGCGGGGAGAATGGGGGGCGGGTGTTGGGGGTCGGTGTTGGGGAAGGAGGGGGGTGCTGGGTGGGCTGAGGCAGGCATCGAGGTGATCGCCGCAACCGCATCTGTGCATGGGTGTACGGCAGAATGGCAGAGGACTGATGGCTGTGTCCAGGAACATACACTATTGGCGTGGGGGTTGGTATGCCTTCGGGGTTCGCCGAATGACGAGCGTACGGGCGGGATGGAAACTGCAAAGCTGGCCCATGGGTCCGTGTGCCGTAACTCAGTTTGGAACCCCGGTACGGAACCCTGGCACAGGCCATTTAAGCATTGCCCCAATTTGACGGTTGTAAACCGGGTGAGGGCAGGTTCGTCCTCACCGCATAGATACCCCTTCCTCTGCCTCCCCTTTGGCTACGGACCACATTTGTCCTAAGATGTGTACACATGTGGCTTACGCTACCCTACTTCACGCCTACATAAAAGGCCAATGGCCGTTCGGCACTACTCACCTGCACCGCTTCCATGGGCTTGCACAGGTGCCTCTGGAGCCGCCCCATCTTGGCCATCATCGTCGTCATCATCCAAAACCATGGCACGTCCCGTCTTCTTACGCCGCTTTGCCATAGGCTCTGCATCATCCATGTCTTCATCTTGCTGTACAATGGCAGGAATTGCAGGGGTTCCTCCAGTTGCCGCGGGCGGGCGAATGCCAGCAGCCGATATATGACCTGCAGCCTGCCCAGAAGCAGACGCGATCACCGGAGTAGGTTCAGGCTTCAGATTATCTTGTTCTGTCGTTGGGGCGGCGCCAGACGCATCCTGCTTCTGAGTGTCGAGCGAGAATCTGGCGAAAGGGTTGTTGCTGGTCGGCGCGACAGCTTCCGCAGGACGGTTAGAAGCTGTAGCCCTCATAAGGAGTGATCGCAGTGATGTACCGGTGATTTCCTCGCGCTTAGGAGGCTCCGGGAGCAAGCTGCCATCCATGTTTTGCTTCGAGGTTTAAAAGATACAAGGCAACCAGCTGAGTCCGACAGATTAATGATTTAAGGCGACATCAGCTTTGTAAATACAGAAGCATTACAATGGCGCGCCTGAGGCGGCCGAACCGATGGTTGTAGGCAAGCGATATGCTTCTGAGCGACAAACAAACTATAAACGCAAACAGCAGTGTTTGACGATCAGTTAACATAACCAGGGTCGAGGGAAAAGACGAGGGAAAAAGACAGCACGTACGGAATGGCGGTTCACTGGATTCACTTTAGATCACCCATGGTTGCAGTTCTTTCCCGTCAGGGAAGTGGGCACAGTATGAATTTGCATTAAGCTTCAATTGCTGCTTTTTGCGTTTAAGATTGGGTGCCAGCCGACAGCTGGTCGCTGACGCAGAAACGCCGTCTTACGCCGTCTAACTAGCGCTAACGCATGGCCCGCATTGTGCCATCTAAGCTCTACTGCGCGCCTTTAAAAATAACGTAGCCTCTCTTGGCGTATCAGTATATAATGCAAGGCAAGCATCCAAGACCAAACTCTCTTGCTCTGCGTCCCTTGTTCACACTGCAGCTGCTGGTTACGTGTCACATGCCCCCCGTTAGCGAACACTCCCCACGACTCCCCTCAAATACCATGCTGACTGTTCAGCTTTCCGTCCACGCTTGCCTCCGCCAAGCCTCCCATAGCCCCCCCCTCCCCTTCACGGTCAGTTAGATGTTTCCTCTTTACCCCCCTCCCCTTGCTTGTCGTCTTGTTTGCCATTCTCATACAGCACATATTGGGTATCCTTCTTTTTGCCCCCCCTTCCAGTCGGATTTGCCTCCACTTCACAACGCCCCGTCTTCGTCACATGACGCTTCTCCCTCATCGAACAAGGGCGCCAGCAGGCGCTTCCACCGCAGCCCGTTACGGAAGTCCTTCGCCGACATGACCTTCTTGGTGGGCGGCTGCACCTGCACACACACAGCCAACAACAGCAGCAGGCGAACAGCAGGAACAGAGCAGGGTTTGAGCAGGGTCAGAGCAAGCGTGCTGCAGATCAGCAGGCGCGCGGAGGTGTCAGAGCAAGCGCGCCGCAAGCACACCCACCCTCAGCTATCATTCGGAACTCGCAAGTCGCAGTCCTGCCTGCCACCTACCCCATTGGGTCATCTTCTTCCCCCCCTTCCCTTACAGAGGGAAACCCTCACAGCAACCCTCACACCCATCGCCAACTGCCAACAGCCCCAAGCACCCGCCCCGGGTTTCACCAAGTGCGTTTACAAGGTGTGAAGGTGATGGCATCCCTCCTTCCTTCCTTCCTTCACCCCAAGCACGGTAACAACAGGTGCAGCAAGCAGCCAGACAGCTATCCCAGTAGTTGCTGTATAACGTATCATACAAGCAGTGCTGCCGAGTCCCCCAACCACCTACCCAACCACCCCCCCAACCACCTTCCCAACGAACCCCCCAACCACCTAACCAACTAACCCCACAACGCACCTGCAGCACCTCCAGCACGGTCCCCCCCGCACAGGGCAGCAGCATCGCATCCCCGGAGAAGGCCACATCCTCGTACTGGTCCTCGTACTCATCCTCGCCGTTCTGCTGCTCTTCCTCGCTGTTCTGCTGCGGAGGCTGCTGTTGCTGCTGCTGCTGCTGTTGGGGTGTCGTACAGATGCCGTCATGGCCCGGGGCCTGGGAGGAGGTGGTGGAGGGGGAGGAGGGCGGGGATGCAGGCGAGGAGGCGGAGGGCGCTCGGGTTCTCACGATCTTGAGATCCAGGGGCTCCAGGGCGTCTGGTAGGGGGGGAGGGGAAGGGGGGATTTGGACGAGTAATACCTAATACACCCCACCATGTGCAAGCCCACTCCGCATCTTGCTTCAGCACCCAGCCCACTCCTCCCCGCCACCCCACCCCGCCGTGTTTCCTCTCCCTGCGCCACACCCCGGACTCAGCATCCCCCACACTCAGACACCCACCCACCCACCCATCCCACCTGCAACCCGCACTCACGCCTCCCCTCCTTCGAATGGCTAGCTGTCCCCGAACCCCCCTGTCGCTCCCAAACGTGTTCCCCTTCTCCCTCCCCCTTTCCCTATCCCTTGTCATACAGCTAGTTCCCTTTTTATCCACCCCTTTCCCTCGCCCCCCCTCGGGATTCGGGATTGGGACTCCGTTGCTGCACTTCCCCCCCTCCCTCACCCGACGCCTCGTCCCACAACGCCAGTCTCGCCACACTGCCCGGCCAGCCCGCGAACGCCCTCACTCGGTTGTGCAGCTGGGCGGCGGGCAGGGAGAGCAGCGGCAGCACAGCCTCCTCACGGGTCAGCTGGGGGGGGTGGAAGAAGAAGGGGAGGGGGTGGAAGAAGAAGAACCATGCGGGAGGGGGGAGAAGAGGGGGGAGGGGTCAGTGAGGTACTTAACAACAGACGGGCGTTCAGAAGGTGCTCCAAAGGTATCGTGTAGCTCACACAACCCGGGGCACACATGCATCCGTCGGAGCACCGGAGGAGCACAGAGGATGCATGTACACAGCAAGTCAACACGCCATGGGGCAACAGGGGTGGTGTCACAAGCACTGCCGCTCGGGCAAACCGCCGCAGCCCTTCAGGAAGTACATCCCTACCGCTGCCGTACAACCGTACCTCCTGCCACCTACCTTGTTCGCATGCAGCACCTGGCTCTCATCCTGCGACCCATGGGTCAGGGTGGCAAACCAAGGGGCACATACCGGTACGATCCGCCATGGGTAACGGTGTAGGGTGTAACACTGAGAGCGAGGTAGGGAACGCAACCAAAGTGCCGCCTCCCTTGAGGAACACGTAGCGACTGCTGTGGTAGAGCTGCGGTCGGCGGGTGAGGTAGGGTGGGTACTATTGCCACCCGCAACCATATCCATACCCGCTTATCTCACCCTCCCTCCCTCCCTCCCGCCCTCCCCCACCTGCTCCACCGCCCGCTGCCGCCCCCTGCCCGCCAGCACCTCGGGCAGCTCCCGCAGCAGCAGCCGGGTGCCCTGCTGGAAGAGGTGCGACAGCAGCTCGGGGGCCTGCACGTCGGGGTCCACGGGAACCTGAGGGGGGGGCGGGGGAGGGGGGAGGTAAGGGCCGGTAAAACACACACACGTGCCTCCAACCCACTCCCTCCTGCTCACCGTGCTCTTCCCACTCCCTGCCCTCTCACCTCCATACCGCATCTCCAGGTTTCCCGTTCCTCCCTCATCGTTTCCCAATACCTCCTCTCCTTCTCCTCCTATCTGCTCCTCTCCTCCCCCCTCACACATACACATTCCCCCCGCCCCCCTCACACATACACATTCCCCCCGTCCCCCTCACCCGCTGCTGCGCCAGCACCGGCCCCGCATCGCACGCCAGCACCGTGTACGCCACACTCACTCCCGTCTCCGACACACCGTCCTGCGCATTGGGGAACGAGGGGAAAAGAGGGGGAAGGAGGTTCTTCTAAATCCATATTATTCCGGTATAGCCCGTTTTGAAGAGGCCTATCCACAAGGTCACATTCCCCTCCCCTTTCCCCCATCTCATTCAAACGCACCGTACTCTTCACTCCCTTTCTTCCGCTTCCCCTTCCCCCCCCCTCGCCTCCTCCCTCTCCTCCCCTACCCCCCACCTGCAGTGCCCGCTGCACGGGTGCCGCCCCCCGGTATCTGGGCAGCAGGCTGGGGTGGATGTTTAGCGTGCCGTACCTGGGGGCCGGGGGGGGGCAGGGACACAAACCAAACCATTTGAGACCGTACGATTATGACACACCGCATGCTGTTACAGGGAAAAACCAAGCAGGGCAGGCGGCAGGGAGGCGATACCCGGGTGCCGTACGTCGTACCTGGGTGCATCCAAGAAGCGCTGCGGCAGCATGTTGCCGTACGCTGCCGTAATGGCTAGGTCGGGCTGCAGCTCCTCGATGAGGCGCAGGAAGGATTCCTGGGGCAGGGGCGCAGTGTGACCCGTGGGTCATGGATGTGGGGAGGGGTGGGGCCATGCACGGGACGACGTCTAGGCACCGGACAACAGCGGGCGCGTCCTGGGTCCCACATGGCACCACACAAACCGTAAAGGGTAAACAGTAAACGGCTCCCCTCCCGCTCCCTCCATCTCCTCATCACCCCTCCCCTTGCCTCGTCAGTTTCCTCATTTCCCCGCCGCCCCGCCGCCCTCACCTCCTTAGCCCGCTGCGGACACACCACCCCCTCCGGCCCCAGCAGCCCACTGTCCCGCGCCACCGCCTCCACCGGGGAGGGGGGCGGGGCAGAGGAGCGGTGGCCCCGGCCGCGGGGCTTGCCGGGCTGAGAGACCACCAGACATACCTGGAGGGGGGGAGAAAGAAGGGGTGGGAAAATTGAGGAAACTGACGAGAGAAGGGGAGAGGAGGGGTGGGGAGAAAGGGGAGAGGAGGTAAGAGGAGGGAGGGGGAAGGCAAGCACTAAGGCAGCAAGTACCGGTGCCAAGGAGTGGTGGGACATGGTAAGGGTTGGTGGTGCACCACCTGCGCCCCAACCCCCCTCCTCGCTGCCCCTCCCTCCTCCTCAGCGTCGGATAGCAGGGAGGGGGCCCTAGCAAGGGAGGACGACCGGAGTGGGCGGTGGGCGACACAGGTTCAGGAAGTGCAACAGCAAAGACGCTCTTAGGCAGCAGCAGCACCCCCCATCTCAGCAGCCTAGCTTCTCCCAACGTCCGCCCCTAGCTCCCGTCCATCTAAACCCCCCCCCCAGTACCCCTCCCTCCTCCCCACCCCCCCCCGGCACCTCGAACAGCGAATCGGGTTGCTGTGATGCAGCCAGCAGCTCCCGAAGCACATCCGCAGCTACCTGGGGATCGGGGGGGGAGGGGGGTAGGAGAGTCCTCCGCATCTCATGAGGTGTTGCGCAGCTGCCAGGGAGAAGATGGGTTGAGTGGTGCTTGACTGATCAACAGCCGTTTTGGTCGTTGTAGCTGAATTGCTAGCTGGACACAGGCACCGTACCGGTTCCCGCCGTGGCATGCCATGGCTGCTATGCCAATCCCTAAAGCCCGTCGATTTGTTTTACAGCGGCATAGAGTATGTAATAAATCCAGATATTATCTTGAATGCTTGAAGTCTGCACTGCTCACCTCGGGTGTGCCCAAGAAGACCACACGATGCTTCTTGGTGGCGCCATTAGCCGTGCTTATAGCAGACACCGCAGGAGTTGTACATGATGTTTTTATTAGTCGTAACGTCGGCAACAATGATACTGGCCGAGTCGAATGCGTAAACGGTCGTGCGCGGTATCCGTGAGCTATTGGCGGCATCTTTGGAGTCCTTAAAAATCCTAACGTACCATTAACTGTAACCTTTACTAATTGTGTGGTGCTGCAAGGTTAGGTTTCCTAAGTTTGGATCTGGTTCATACGCAATTGCATTTGTCAGCTGTCCAAATGCAATCACTGGAACACAACAGCAGTTCACCAGTATAAGTTTATTTGGTACACATGTATATTACCTAAAATGTTTGCAGTTACAAGTTACAAACAGTCGTGAAACTGCATAGGATGTTCCTTGCTTGCACTGTTCGCGTAACAGTCTTGCTTTGTCCAGGCACGCTTTCAGATCTACATCTTGTAGATTTAGCTGCAATACTTCTGCATTGTCGATGGGTCCGAATGTGGAACGCGGAAACGGCGGATGTCCGCAGATGCATTGCTGCCATTGCCATAGTCTTGCGGAAGCTAAGGAATGCTCGTCTTGCCCTGCATCAGCTACTAACAATTCTTTCAGCACTTCCATGCAGCGGCCGTAATACGCTTGCGCCTCTATCATCCAGTTCCAACAAAAGCATGGAAGCAAGCAATGTCAGCAGGGACATTAAGACGTATATGCTTCCAAACCATTTCCATAACACGATAACCTTCAATCCGCGTCTCATCGCTCAATATCCGTAATCTCCAAATCGGTCAAACCTGCATACCGTACACCATATCGGTAGCCACAAGGCACGTACTCCTAGCCCACCCTAGCAGCAGCTTCCTTCCCTTCACGCCCCCCATTGAACGGCACCATGGCCGCCTGCTGCTCCAACAGCGACGTGCAGTCCTCCGCCGTTGGGAACGGAATGTCGTACGCTTGGGAGGTGCCACGTATCTGGGTAGCACCACCACTGCGGGGGGTGGTACCGCTGCTGCTGCTGCTGCGTGTGGTTGCATCCGTACTCGACAATTCACCACCGCCCATGCCGCCTCCCGCCGTACCATCATTGCGTGCAGTAGAACCGCCGTTGCTACCTTGGCTGCTACTACCCAGCCCACCATTGTTGTCGTTGGCAGGGTCTGATGGGGAGCCAGGGGAGCGGCCGGAGGCGGGAAGGATCAGCAGGTTGTCCGGCAGGGGTGCCACGGAGGCAGCTCGCAGCAGCTCTGCAAGCGGGTCACCACCACCACCACTACCTCCACTGAACTGGACGTCCTGCACCCTGCTGCTGCTGCTGCTGCCACTGCCGCCGGTGCTGCTGCTGCTGCCACTGCCGCCGGTGCTGCTGCTGCTGCCACTGCCGCCGGTGCTGCTGCTGGTGCCACTGCTACCACTGCCAGAGGCTGCAGCACCAGCAGTGTTAGCTTGTCGAAGAGGGACCAGCAGCCCATTGCTGTTGTTGCCTTGCTGCTGCTGCTGCTGTAACTGCTGCTGCTGCTGTTGCTGTTGCCTTGGCTTCTTGATGGGCCGACAGAGCACCTCCTGCGCACCAGAAACGGACGCAGGATTGCAAGGTGCTGTACCACACGTAGTCGCTATCCAATCCACTGCCAGCACTTATACAAGAACGGAGCAGGACACGGGGGATTGCCGTACATTGCCGTACGCACCCTGAGCGGCGTAACGCCAATCACGGATGTGGAGGTCGAAGCAGCCCCCGTGCCGAAGGCGCCCCCGCTGGTGCGGATGGCGGTGTTGTCCGTACCAAACGCCACACCAGCAGCCTGTACGGAACCCCTGGTGCCATACAGAGCAGTTGGGTCGTAATATGTAAGTTCACATGATACTTTGAAGCCGAGGCCTGGAATATCGCGGGGCAACTTAACTATGCATGATGGAAGTGCAAGCGCTGTAATCACCCCAAGGAAGCTCGACCAGAATGAGAAAGAGAAATTGAGAATACGGGCTCTGTACGGCATGCGGGCTGCACTGCTGCTGCAGGGAGCGCATTGAAGGAAGGACAGGGTATCCGCCACTCCGCCACTCCCCAAACCATGGAAAGGCATTGGGGGATGAGGTATCCGCCACCTCCCAAACTATGCTGGGCAGCATCCGTAGGGTTTCCGACCCACGGTACGGCCACGCAGACACCCACCGGGTCCACCCAAACAGGTTGCTGGCTCCGAAGGTCTGCAGGTTCCCCGCCGTGTTGCTGTTCACCGCGGAGGGGAAGTCGGGCAGGTCCGTGTGCTGCACCCGCAGTACCGCAGCCGAGCCGCCCAGGTTCCTGTACGACAGGCAGCATGGGCGCTGTCGTACGCTGTGTGTGCGCATGGCGTGAAGCGGCATGGCAAGCCACTGGACACATCGTCGCTATCAAGGTAGAAGTTCGAATACCGGGTAAAAGAAGCATCCTGTCAGCCACGTGAGCAAACACGGCAACCCTAGCTAAGGAACAACGACGCTGGGGGCCTGGTTGACCTCCTTACGCTGGCAGCGCCTTTGGTTTAGCCTTGCCCTTGCTGTCTTTCCCGGGCGGCTCCTGTGGCGGGGACGGCGGCGACGGCACGGACGACTGCGGCGGTACCTGGGGCGGCGGGGGAACCTGGGGCGGCGGTGATTGAAATGCAGGCGGCCCTGCAACGGGCGGCTCTGCAGCGGCGGGTGGTTGCGCCGCTGCTGGGGGCTCAGTCGTCGGAGGTTCGGCCGCCATGGGAGGCTGTGCTGGCGGCTGCGCTCCCTTCTTCCCGCCCGCCTGCTGCTGCTGCTGCTTCTCCCAGCGTCTAGCCCGCTGCTGCCACTGCCGCAGCTGTTGCTGCTGCTGCAGCACGGATCGCAGGTTCTGCAGCGAGGCGAGCTGCTGTTGCATGGAGACGTTGAAGAAGGCGGCCGTGTTGTTGGGCTGTTGCGCCGCTAGCTGCTGCAAGGCGGCCTGGGAGCGGTTGGTGGAGATGGCGTAGGAGGCGAGCGAGGCGGAGACCAGGGTGAAGTCGGAGGTCTGGCCTGTGCAGGTATGTGGGGTCGTGTGAGTTCATGTCGTACTGGGTCACACGTACGTATATGCTTAGGGCCGGTGGGGTCGGTGCTTCTTTTCAATGGCTCTCTACCCATGCCCTTCCTTCTGCACGGGTGGCATGCATCCGTTAAACATTTGCTTGCTATAGCCTGATTATTGACTAATTCCCTGGATTCCTGCATCCGTCAATACCAGGCCTTCCATCCAGGTGCACCCCAGCCCCCCGCGTCCTGCACGCCTGCACGCACCTGTACCCTCCACCAGCACTCCGTTCTGGTTGCTTGAGCCGGTGCGGCGGCGGCCGTCGAAGATGGTGGTGACGGGGCCCACGGAGAAGGTGACGCGGGAGGGCACCGCGCGGTCGCCTGCGGGGGGGGGGCAGGTGGTGCCGTTGGCGTGAGGAGGGGGGCAGGGAGGGGAGCTGGTGCAAGGATATGCCATGGGACCCGCCCTTTAATCAACTGTAGCAGCGCACAGGCAAACCAGCAATGCCTGATTGCCACTACTTTACGCACTCAGCCGCGGGTGTCCTGCCCCCTTCTTGGCGCCCACGCACCCACCTGCCAGCGACAGGCCGCCAACCACGGCGCGTGCGCCCACGTCCCCGGCCACAGGTGTGGATGCGTTGCCGGCCGCCAGGGAGAGCCCCGCAGCGCCGAAGCTGGCAGTGGGCGCCCCGAGCGCTGCAGCGAATGAGGGAACGGGAGTCTAGTGGCCTGCTAGAACGCCTCGTATGGGGCTATGGGCGCAAACGATAGGGGGAGACATGGCCACACACAGCAGCTGGGGTGTGCGCGGCAGCGCGCTCTCATCATCTCATCTCAATCATCTCATTCTTGGTACCCGAATCACCGCTCCCGCCCCCCCTACTTGCGAGGTCCTTGGCCACGGATGCCGAGGTGCCGCCCGCTAGCACGCTGGTGGCATCGGGGTCTAGAGCGGCGGCACCTCCCGCGTACAGGGCGCCGGTGCGGTTGGGGGAGATCTGTGGGAGGGGTGGAGGGACAGTAGCATGCGCAGATCTGCATGATCTAGGTTCGGCTGATAGCGTGCTGTTGACGTAAAAGGGCATCCGAACATCAAGCACCGAATAAATGATGAGAGGGATAGCTTAGGGCAGCCACACGATGAAGGGCGGGCGCCTCGCCGCGGGGTACACTTCCTCACAACACCCACGTCCCTTCTGAAGGTAGATAGCCGGCCAGACCTACATACATCCCCTATCTCGTGTCCGTCCATCCACGCCAGCAGCGATTGATGCCCTCACCTGCACGCGTGTGGTGGCGTTGCGGCGCTGCGCCTGTGTGGCGCCCGTGGCCAGGCTGCTCACATTAGCCACGGAGCCCAGCTGCGTGGGGATGGCTGTGCAGGCAGGGATGGGGGGAAAGATAGAACGGGTGTAAGGTAGTTGGTGCGCCTCGGTACGGCAATACGGCAAGACAGCAGGGGAATCAACCCAGTGCATGTGCGAGATGTCCTTCTTACCAGCCGCGAGGGAGTTCACGAGCTGCAACAAGTCCTCCGACAAGGAACCGTACACCCTCGCTCCATCCCCTGCTCCTCCCACGGCTGCGGAGTTGCCGCCGTGTGCGTTCGCGGCCTTGTCGCTTAGAACGGCTTGCACCGTTGGGTCCGCGGCAGCCTTGGCGATCACAGAGCGGTACCTGTTCTCCGACATGTAGCTGTACGGCACATGGCTGTCGTACTGGTCGTATTCGTCGTCGTACCCAGAGGAGGAAGACGAGGCGCTGCTGTTGCTGCTGCTGTTGTAATCATCGTCCGACTCGTCGTTACCTGCTGCTGCGTCGTCATTGGCGGAGTTGTTACGTGTCTGCGCCACAGCAGCAGCCGGGGAAACACATGATCAGCAGGTTGGGTATGGCAGTGTACGACAAGGCGTTCATGTATGAGCTACACCCGCGAGTTCCCGCTCCCCTGCACCCTCCAGCCGTTGACACCACAGTCCCCCATACCCTACCTGCGCCTCGCTTCCCCCTCCTCCGCCTCCACCTCCTCCTCCGCCTTCTCCTCCTCCTCCCGCATCTCCTCCTCCTCCCCGCAGCAGCACCTCCTCACTGTCGGCCCCTGCCGGCTGCTGCTGCTGGGCCGCTGCAGCAGCCGCACCTGAGCCGGCCAGCAGCAGCCGGCGGTGAGCTGCTGCTGCT